TTCTGTCTGCCTCTGTGGGATGAGGGGGTGGGCAGGGAGCTGAGGAGGGATCACTGGAGGGCGGCTGCCGTGCTGAGGATCAGCCCTTTCTGTGGAAGGGATGTTCTGTGCCCACTGACCGCAGTTCTAGGCATCTCAGTGGGTTGTGATGCTGCTCTAGGACAGGTCTCATCACGATGACCTGAAGAGTCTCTGTTTTATCCGCCTTGGGATCTAGGCTCAAACTTTGGTTTAATTCCCTTTCTGTAGGCTGCCTGAAACAGGAGCTCCAAGGGAGATGTGATCTCCACAGCCACTGTAAAAGAAGAAATAACTGAAGCTGGGAGGTAACAGGAATTGAATTTTTATGTATCTAATTAACAAGCACACAAGTAAGGGATAATCTCTTTTAGAAGACACGCACACTGTGTTTCTGAGCCCTCCCTCATCTTCCCAGGGAATGTGACGAACCCCTCTGAGTTCTGCAGGTGTCCAGATTAGATGCCTTGTGCACCTGCTCTGTGAATGGCTTTTGAGCGATTTGGGTTCTTTTCCCCTTCGGAAGCACTCAGGAAGCATCCCAGTTTCATTCCTATCTGCGCACAGCTCTGGAGTGGGATGATGTACCAAGCTGCTACAAGCCAGATAAATGTTCTTTCCCTGCCCGAAGAAAGGCTTTGGGGCTTCCTGTAGATGTGTGATGCACCATGCAGGCTCCGTTGGCTGTTCTGTACGTTCTTGGTTCTCCCAACGCGCTTAGAGTAGTTCTTATTGCTCAGAAACTGTAGCTGAGGTCACTCCAAGTGGTTGTTGTGTGGAGCTCTCCTTATGTGGTGGGTGGGAAAGCTGATGATGTGCACTTACCCTTTTGACAGAGATCTGGCACTCATCTCCATGTTTTTCTTCTTCTGAATTAGAGACTGCAGACTGCAATGATTTTTGGTTAACCTCTTTGTACTTTCTTTAGGATGAAATCATCCCTCCATCGGAATTGTTGCCTGCTACCTATAGAAGGAATGAAAGCCCATGTCTGTATGTTGTGACCTTTTGGAGTGAATACACTAAATATGTGTATGCACATAAACACGGCACAAATTTATCATGCAGTATTTCCTAGCTGTTAAGAGACCATAAAGCTGTCCTTGCCCCCGTATCTCTCTCTCTCCCCCTCTCTCTCCAAATAAGGACCCCTCTATGTTCAGCTTTCTTTGAAAACAGGTGTGTGATTGCAGGAAAGGGATGAGGTGAGCTTCAATCCCTTGAACTCCTGCCTTTCTAAACAATTGCAAGCATATAGCCAAAAACTGGCACCAGTGAGCAAAGCAGCTGCGGCACGTTCCAAATATTGCTCTATTTAAAGCATCCCGGGGCTCCGGGAACAACTGCAGAGGCAAACCTTAAAACTTGTCAATAAAGCCGGCAGAGGGAGGAATGGCAGAAGCAGGTAAGGTGCGTGATTAAAAGTCAGTGTAGCCATGTATTCTTAAAAGTCATGAAGATGAACAGCATGAGGTGAGAATGCTCAGCTCTTCGTGTAGAACTAATTGTTGTTCAGTGACACTGTGCAAATTACTTTCTAGTAAGAAAGCCCGAGGTTTCTTAGTTCTGTTAGCAGCGGTGAGTTTCAAGTAGCTCAAGTTCTTCCTACCTCTGAATTCTACACATTTTATTTTCTTTTGTTTTTGTAGTTGTGATTTTAAGTTGATGAATGTAATTAAACTGAACCATGGAAATTGAGTTACGTTTGACAGTAACTTGGATCTATTGCATAGCTGCAGTCTGAGCGCAATGCTGGGTGAACACAAAGCAATTTAGATTTTAACTCTGCAAAGCCCAAAGGCAGAGTAAAGTGAGATTTTAATAATGCACTGTTTGCTGTGAGCACAATTCCACTGAAGATGAGAAAAAGCAGTTTATAAAAATGCATTTTGTATTCACTGTCACTCTCTGTTTGGCTCACCATCAGAGGTTTGCATGGTGACAGAGCTGTGTGCTTATGTACAGTGTCAGCTGTGCACAGTTACTCAGCAATGCTTTTACTTGAAAGAGGAATTTATCCACCTCCATAGGTATACCAGTAGCTTTTAAAACACTGTGCCTCCTGTCTATGGCACAGTTACCACTGGTATCTAAAAGGACAGTGAAATGCTGCTGAGTTTGGGTGCAACTGGGAACTAAATGCCATTTCTTAATCCTTCTTATCATTGGTGTTCATGGAAATTACACTAATGTTCCACTGTGAATTAGTACTGACGCATGTGTAGCACTGGTAGAATCATTATGTCTGTGCTTAAGAAAAGAAAAAAAGTGATGTGGCCATAGGTGTGACAGAGCCAGGCTGGAGCCAACTACCGCCTGGGGCAGCAATGGGAGCCTGGCACTGTGGGACTGGGCATCACTGGGACGTGGGTTGGCACGGCCAGGAGATCCAGACAGACAGATAGGGTGCCAGGTTTGTGAGATTTTCAAGTCTGAAGCTGGCAAAAGCCATCAGCACAAAAGTCTGTCTGTCCAATCTGCTTTAAATTGGGTTTTAGAGCACCACGCTCTATTGGTAGCATGCATGGAATTCAGAAAAACTGGTCTGTTGGAGCTGGCAGCCAGGATGCAGGCAACTAGTGTCTGATGTGGAGAGGTGGTGGGACACCTGTCTGCTCCACCTAACGCATGGTGCAACCCTGGGACAGCCCCAGGCACCCTGTGCCACCAGGCACGGACCAGGCTTCCTGTGTCCAATGCCAGCAGAGTTGGAGGATAGTGCAGGAGGTGTGTGCTCCTTCCTTCCCAGATTTCTGCTGACCAGCAGTTTACATTGTTGTGGTACATCAGCATCCCATCATGGACAATTCTAGGGCTCCTGATCTGTGAAGGCACAGCACTCAGTGCACTGTTTGTTTTGTGTAGAGAAGCTCAGCAGTAGCACAGAAGTGCTGTGTTTGCCACTCTGACCTGCCCCTCTCTGCTTATTTTGAGATAAATTCATGTTTGAAATAGAGAAAAATTACTGCAGTGGGGGAAAAAGAAAGTAATTCATACCTAGAATGCCAGCTTATGTACATGGGTCACAGTAAGATTCCTTTATCCTTGCTGCCATCCAGACTTATCCTTTTGGTTTCAGTCGGCTCTAGCCCAGCAGCTGGCCTTGATTTCCTGTTTAGAAGCAATGCTCATGGTTGCTCCTCAACAGCCCACGTTTCCCTCAGTACCCTGCTCTCCTTTGCATTCATTATAACAGTAATTAAAACGTATCCTCGCATTTTAGGATTGCAGCTGATTACCTGCAGGGGTCAGTAAAGATTTCTTTCCATTACTTTAGGAGTGCTGCTCCCCTGCTGCTGTCCCACTGCCCCTCACCAGAGCTCAGCCTGAACACTGGGCAGTGCAGATGCTGTCTTTGCAGCTGTTGGTGTGCCCAGCTCTGCTCCTTGGAGAGAGCGATGCGTGCTTGTCAGATTTAGGCTTGGGATAGTTTCCCAAAGACTGGAACCCTTCAGTCTGTCACCTTCTTCTGCGGCCTTGCAAAAGGAGTTTGCCACCTTCTGAGTGATGCCTTGCAGACAGGTTACCCTGGATGTCTCATGCAGCCTAGCACCCAGCCTTGTGCATGTGCTGTGCTTTGTGCTTCAGCATCCCCTGCTTGTAGCATAAAGTAGTTTTCACACAGCTGCTTTACTCTAACCTGGAGTATCTGTCCCGTGACATGCAGGGGATCAGAGCAAATGATCTCATAGTCATATCTGCTCTTAAGCTGTGAAACACAAGTACTCTTAATGGCTCCCGTGAAACTCTATCGCTCAGAGCCAGCTGCTTGCTGCCCATGACAAATGCTGGCCCAGCATTCCTGCTGACTGTCAGCGCTGGCTTGCTCCTCTTACCTTTCTGCACTTCAAGTGGATCTCACATAACAAAACCCCATATCCAGCAGATACATTGGCAGCGAGCAGTGCTCTATCAAAATTCTTCCATGTGCCCCAGTAGGGCCCAGACCTTCATTTGTAACAGGATCTTTAAGAGAAAAAACAGCAATGCCAGAGCAATGATTCCCAACAGAAGGACCTTTCTTACACAGAGTCAAACACTCTTTAAAGGAAACAGGCAAGGATTCCCCTGTGGCAAAAGGACACTCCATTGCACAGCAAGATTGTATCCTTGTGCCGCATGGCTGCTATTTATATGTCTCATGTTTTAATGGCAGCACGCACAGATTTTCTGCCTATATGCTCTTTCCCACTTGGTAGCTATACCACGGAATACCATGGCAAGCCGTGGCTGTGTTGGGTGGGGTTTTTTAAGAGAAATATGTAAAGCCTTAAATTATTCAGCATCCCTCTAAAGTCTCTCTACTGGATGTCAAATGTGCAGGTGTTGTGGAGAGTTTTACATTATTTATTAATCCTTTCAAAAACCTGGGAGTCTTTTAACTGTAGAATGTTGTACTTTTGCATTCTGCAATATGCTGGTAACTAATGCAGTCTCTGAGGTTGATGTGCTGCTTACTGCCAAGCTGCTGCTATTTGCTGCAAACTGCTAGAAGGGTCTTTGAAACTCTGGTGCTGTCCAGGCACACGTTTATAAGGGCTGTTCCTGCTTTCTGTGTGCTTCCCAGAGAACCACCACCTCAATTTGCCTCCAAGCTATTTATTAGCCAATTTTAGTTCTTAGTGGATGGAACAGGCAAGGCATCAGACTTCTGTGGCCCAAGTAAGGCAGATAGTTTCTGTGTTATTTTCTTATTTTAAGCTAAGGGAAACCCTCGCAGTGAATACCCTGTCTCACTGTAAGACAGGAGAGAGAAGTGGGCAAAGCCAGGCAGTGCACACACAGCGCTGAGATGGGTCCTGAGGCACAGCCCTGGGCAAACATCCCTTTGGGGCATGAAAACTCACTCAGCACCCCCTCACTGTGGCTCCAGGCTTATAAAACTTAAACAGGTACAGTATTTTATATTTATATATATATATAAAATTATATGTTTATAGTATATATTATATATATAATAGCAGTATTTTTAATTTGCTGTCGCCACGCTCATGAGACTTCCAGAAGGTGCTGTACAGGTACATGTACATTCAGGCTATTGAATCTGAGTCTGCTCTCCTTCCAGTCCAGATGTTCTCCTGATGACCTGTGGAGGCCAAGGACAGAACAGTGCTTCTGTCTCTGCTTTCTGCTTCTTTTGGAAGTGTAAAGCCTTGCACCTATCTGATTGCAGAGACGAGAGTGTGGAAATGGCTTTGGGTTTTGCTATGTATATGTAGCAGGCCTGCCAAGACATGGTGACTCCATGCCAAAAATAGCAATTGTAGATGTGGCCCAAGCCTCACAGGTATCTTTCTTGTTTTGTGATAATAATTGCTTTGTTGTGTTTAGTGTAGTGAATTCAATGTAACACGCCCTCTCTGAAAAAGATGATCATTCCTCTTTCAGCCCCGCTCCCACTTTCACGCCTTGTGGTACCCATCCTGCTTGCAGTTGGCTGGATAGTGGGTTGTGCACTGATGGTTTATATCGTCTTCTCCTGACAGAAGTAAGTGACTTGCACTGAATCAAATGGCATCCACGTGTTCTGTGGGGTGCATCGATTCCTTTTTCAACATCATTTTCTTTATCTTACAGGACAGAAGAATTTACAGTGATGCTGTTTGGAACAACCTGAAAGTTAAACTGGAATGTTTAACAACTAAAATATGTTTAAAATTAATTATTTTTAATATCAACACTGTAGATATCATATACACTCTTTTTATCTACCTGTCTCGCAAGCTCATTCTTCCTTTTGTGAGCAGATAAACAGCACATCTCTTCCCCTGAGCCGCCTGTTGTAGAGTTAGGGGCTGAAAGGACCCCTGGAGCTCCCCCCATCACACAGTTTCCCTGCAGCAGGTCACGCAGGAAAGCCCCCGGGGGGATTCTGAATATCTGCAGAGGAGATTCCAGCACATATGGGCATCCTGTGCCAGTGTTCTCTAACCTTCACAGCAAAGAATCACACAAAATTACACAATGGCCAGGGTTGGAACGGACCTCAGGGATCATGAATCTCCAACCCCCTGCCACATGCAGGGCCACCAACCTGCTCATGGGGCTGCCCAGGGCCCCATGCAGCCTGGCCTTGAACACCTCCAGGGATGGACGGGGCATCCACAGCCTCTCTGGGCAGCTGTTCCAGCACCTCACCACTCTCTCTGTAAAGAACTTCCCCCTGACGTCCAACCTAAATCTCCCCTCCCTCAACTTCAAACCATTTCCCCTTGTCCTGCTGTCGCTCACCCTTTCCAAGAGTTGATTCCCCTCCTGTCTGTAGGCTCCCTTTAGGTACTGCAGGCTGCAATGATTCACCCCGCAGCCTTCTTTTCTCCGGGTTGAACAAGCCCAGCTCCCTCAGCCTGTCTTCACAGAGGAGGTGCTGCAGCCCTCTGCTCATTTGGTGGCCCTAAGAAGCCATTCCTCACCTGCTGTGCCAGCCCTGCAGCCTGAGACAGTGCTGAGACAGCCACGTGCCCCGGCAGCTGTTTTGGGTGCCTATCAACACTTGGCACCGAGCGTTTCAGATTGAAACATACAGAGCTAAATTATAAACAGTCTAATTCAGCTTCAGCTGATTTTTGAGAGCGGAAAGATCTGACTTGGAAAGGCACAACGACTCCCACACTCGCTCCCTTTGGATCCTCAGCTCGTTCCCAGTTTCTGTGCTGCATTTTTTCCTACAGATTAAACTCTGAGATAACGAGCTGCAACCGCTGCTCTCAGCGACGGTGGAACGAAACAGAACCGTGTTCCTGAGCTGGCTGCAGGAAGGGAACGAAGCTCCTGCCGGGCTTGGAGAATAATAAAAAGAGGGTGATTCCAAGGAAGCAATGCATCCTACAGGGCGCTTGAAGCGTGCCGAGCACAATGCAGAGCAGCCACCTGCAGCCGGCCTCAGTGCGGCGGCTCTGCGCCTCGCCGTGCGGCACAGCCTCTGCTGGGCAATGGCGGTGCTAAGCAGGGGGGAACCTTCTGGAAGGGGGCGGGGCCGGAGCCACCTGCGAGGGGCGGGGCCTCGAGGGGCGGGGCCAGGAACCTTCTGGAAGGGGGCGGGGCCACGAGGGTGAGGGCGGGAACCACCTGTGAGGGCGTGGGGCCACGGGCAGCGAGGTTGGGCTGTGCGCGTGTGCTGGGATGGCGCTGCTCCGCGTGGGCTGGGAGCTGCCTCTGGGGTGGGGGCTGAGCCCGGCACGGGTCGGTCAGGGCTTCTCTGGACCTCATCCTGCAGCGTGGACATGGACGCAGGTAGGAGCTGTGTGACAGATCGCTGGTTTTATCTCTGCTGAGTGCGGCTGGCTGCCGCCTCGTGCTGTGCTTTACAGCTCTGGGTGCGGTGTGTGTGTGTAAATGCGGCTGTGGTGCAGGTATGGCCGTGTGTACCTGGGTCCCTCACCACGGCCAGCAGCACGTGGGGTAATTATGTCTGTAGGTTACAACACTTATTTGACACGGAGCTGCAGAGAAGGTTGTCTGCTGTGTGAAAACACCTGAGTTTCTTTTTGCGCAGACCTGGTTTGTGCTGGGAGCAGCTGCTCTGTGCTGGTTGTGTGGCAGGGCATGGGGGTCGTCTCAGCTGGACAAACAGTGGCTTCTCTGAGAGGGTGTGCTTCAAGGTTATTGATTTAGTGATCAAACTGCAGCTCCTGGGCGCTCCCTACCTTCCTGTGGTTGGGAGCAGCAGGAGGAGGTTATGTGGGGATGAGGTCACCTCCTGGAAAGCAGCTGGGGTGGGAGCGTTGGGCAGCCAGAAGCAGGCTGGTTCATGGATCCTGGCCTCAAAAGTTGTCCTCAGTGGAGTAGGAAGTGTTGTAAACAGGTGGAGTCATTGTGGTGAGCCTGCAGCGTTCTGTGGCTGCGTCTGGTTGAGGATGCATTGCAGAAGTTGTTCACGCAGGGGAGCTGCAGCTGGCATCCTCACTGTCACAGCTCTTCCCCAGAGTGCTTTGAGTCGTGCTTTCTGCCATCAGTTTTCTCTGGGTTACTATGGCTCGTCATGCTGATTAATGACTTTGCTGCACTTCATCACCTCCTAGCTGGGCTGCAGGCACGCAGCGCACGTGGGCAAGCGGCCCAGTCCTTCAGAAACTGCAGCTAGCGTGGGATGTCTCAACACAAGCAGGGCATCTGTCTTCTGCTCCTACATTGGTTTCTCTTAAAATACAAACTCATGTTGCCAGTGTCAGTTCTGATGTTCAACTGATGTTCTGATGCTCTAACCAGAGCAGCGTTGGGATATCTAAAATATGCTGATTGCAAAGTATAATTGGCAAGCTGGCTTGTGAAGTGCAGCTACCCCAAAGGTACGCTGTGCAGGACGGCCTTTCCTCTGTCCTGCATCTACTCTGGGCTGCATTCCGACTTCTGAGGTCCTACACAGACCAAACTGTATAGGTTTTTTGCATATGCTGTACTTATTTCTTTGACCTCGTCTTCTGTATCCAACATGAATGTGTAGCAATGCTTGTATGTAATAAAACAAAAGTGGGTGCTGTACTGTGTATCTGCTGTGATAGTGACAAGGACAAATACTGAGTTGCTCAGTACTGTACCGGTGTATCATCATTGAGACACAAGACTTGGAGTAGATGTGGGGAATTCAGGAGGAAATGGATCCAAATCTTTCTGATAATCTTAAAGCTGTATCAGTAAATCCCCTTGTAAGGAAGTAAGGCTTCAAGAAGTGAAATGGTTTACGTAACCATTGTGTGTTCTCACAAAGGATTCTTTCTGTTTTCTGTTGTTCCATCAGTTCAGTGTGTGATGCTACGTGAGTGTCTGCGTGGTTGGTGCAGGATGCCCTGAATGGTGGTTTGTCACCAGGTCAGTGCGAAGCAGCAGCTGGGAGTGAAAATTCACAGCTGTGAATATTGTCAGGAGAAGTTTTGTCCCAGATATGTGATTGATGGCTTCTGCTATGTTCAGCTGTCTTTGCATGGTACCTATAAAGGCTGTAAGAGCTCTACAGTGTGGGGAAGGCAGTGTGATTGTTCCATTGCTGAATACAGGAAACATTTCCCTTTTCTGAGGTAATTATGTTTGGTGTGGAGCACAGTAAGCATTTCTCATCACACAGCTGAGTGCCAGAGACAGTGGGCAATACAACGCCCAGCTGAATGTACGTGAGGGAGGGAACAGATCCCTGCAAGGGCACAAATCCAGCTTTCAAACCGTTACTGAGTCCCGGAGTTTGGGCTGAGCTCATCAGGACTTGTTTCTATTAAAGGATGGTTTTACAAATCTTATTTCTGTGTTGAGTCACTGCTGTAGCTTCTCCCCATGGTGGGTTGTGGTGTCCTGGTGTGCGATGAGAGAGGAGCAGCCCGAGGTAACACAGGCTAAGAAAGACAGAGAGGCGTGGGGGATCTGAATAATTTGGGGGAAAATCTGCTTGGTATCAGAACTCAGGGTATATATGTATTTTATTATTACTGCCGCTTTGTTTTCTGAACTAAATGCTTTCTGTTCTGTGAAACACGGCTTCAGCTGTGGAAAGTTGTTATTCCATGGAGTAACTTCAAATTCTGCCATGCTCACACTGCGACTGACAGAATGTGCTCAGCTGTGGTTCTTCTGGAGGAGAATTTACTCCAGCATCTACTGACAAAACAGTATTTTTAAAAACTTGATTTAGGTTAGTGGGATTATTTGAACCTCAGCAGATGACTTTTGAGATGCTTAGTTTTAATCTCCTCCCATGAATATGGCCACTGCAGATTTCCACTTAACTGGAATCTTAAATTTTCATAGAGCTCAATTTCGTCCTTTTGGAAGACACTTGGTTTGGTTTTGAATGACCGTATTTCACGTCTCCAGGTGAGCTTAAGGTAATTGCCTTGCTCTTTGCCAACCACTTGTGCATCGGGGCTTGAGTGCTGCTTCACCTTTCCTTTAAAGTAGATAGCTTGTATCTAAATTTGTTAACTGTAAAGTCACTGTCAGCATCTGCCACTCATGAGTGTCAGTGGTGTTGATGAGGCCAGGAGCTGCCCAGGCAGCTTTCTTAGATGGTGCAGCCAAAGCAGTGAGCGTTACAGAGAGGGGAGGACTTCAGCAGCACAGTGCTTCCATCAGTGGTGCCACATTGATTGCCACATTGATTGCTTCTCTATTTTTCAGCGCAAAATGTGGTGGTTTCCTGAACAAGGAAATCCTAGAAAGAAACAGTGCAGTTGCCTACAAGTTCTGCTCCTGATGTGAAATCTGTTAGAGTGCTTACACAGACCTGGAGAAGCAGCAAAATAGGAATGCCACATTGAGTGACATGTTTTCCAGGCTTTGTTGTTCTCGAGGCCTTTGGTGGATGCTTCCTGTGGCATACCTATAAATATTTCCTTGATATTAACGTTCTAAAAAGGAAAAGCCTCACTGGTGCTAATTAGTTTGCAAGCTGTGATAAAAGGCATATTGTGACTTTTCACTGCTTGTTTAATGTCAGATGTCTTGCATCTCAATTACTAGTTTTATGTTTCTCTTATGGAATACCTGATTTTCACTTTTGCATGAATGTGACAGTCGTGTTACTGGTTAAAGTTTGGTTTTTAAAATGCATGTTATTTCTCTGTTGGATGCTGACACGTGGCCAAGTGTGCCTCAGCAGGTGTGCCCAGTGGCTTTTGGTAAGAGTGCTGTGGAAGACAAGGCTGCTGTGAGGCACAGGACAGGCCTAGTGCCAGGAGTGATGGGGTTCAGGGCCGTGCTGCAGAGCGTGACTGCTTTTGTGTTGTCTTGGTCCCAGCATGTATCTGTCTCCCAATGGGGATCTTTCAGCATTCATGCTCCCCTGATCCAGCAGCTTTGGCTGGAAGCAGAGCCAACCTCTGTTCATTTTTTCACCTGCTTCAGAGGGGAGGAAGGAAATGAGCAGCCTCATTTGCTCCATGTTTGGTCATGTGCTTAGTGTGGCCCACAGGGCTGTGTGAAGGGGGGAGGCTGGTGGTCTGGGACATGTGTGACGTTGGTTTTGGGGCACGTGTAAATATGGCTTTTACTAACAAGAGTACTTTGGTTCCTACTATGTCTCGTTCCTTTTTCTTTAGACCTTCTCATAAAAATTCCGACACCAAATCCTGCAGTGTCTGTAGGTTGTTTCCCAGATCTCTGCTCACTTGCTGGCATGGTTTCATGTAACGAAAGCAGGATGTATGTGAGCATTGGAAGCCAACAACGGCTAGGGAACTTTGCCTGTCTTCTGCTTGTATGCCTTAGGGTTGGTTTGTATTTCACACACTTCTCTCCAAACTCCCAGCTCGGTATGCACGTGGGGCGATACACTTCTCTACTGCTATACTTCCTGTAAAGAACAGACGCTGCATTTGGTTTATAATTTCAGTTTATTATCAAAATGTTTTTATCAGATGACAAACTCAAAAAGCTAAAAGGAACATAGGTTTTCAAATATACCTATTGTAGCAGTCATCTGAGGTATCTGCCACTTATTTCTGGAAATCTGTTTGCTTTGGTATACAAAGCAGTTCCTTTGCAATCTGCATGATGATGTTCAGTACCTATCATTGCAGATTTAAAGCCCATTACCTTCTCATTTAAAGCTCTGTTATTGTAAGCAGCTGTGCAGCTTTCCTGGTGTGAGGACTGACATCCATTAGAGCACATACAATTATGTGCAGGATAGAAACCCTCGTTGCTGAGATAGTCAGTCTGAAAGCTGTGCATGACAGTATGCTTATTGGTGTTCTCCACTGCACATCTGTTTTGGAGGCTCTATCTTACTGTCTGATTCCACTCATTACTCTAATTGGCCAGTTCTATGCAGATGCTGATAAAATATATTACAATAGTTTAAGTCAAAAGTGTAACTGAGATTTAAATACAAAAACTGTGATTTTTACATTGCTAGAAACTTTTAAAAAGACAAACGTTAGAGAAAGCAAGAAAAAGCATAGAAAATTGTGAGAGGGTCTTTGATCACAGTCTTATAGATTATGCGTTTAAAAATTAATAAATTACCTGCAATTTCAGTTTGGCTGGAAAGCAGTAAATAAACTGTTGTAAATGTGAGTTGAAATAATACACAAAGGAATAATTAGCGAGAGGTTATTGAACTACGCACATCTTTGGACTCCCTTTGTATAAATGGCTTCAAGTAGAAATGAAAACATTTGGTAAAACAGATTTATCCTAACAGCAGAGGGTACAAATTCTGACACAGGATGCAAACTGCTGCCTCGTTATCATATTATGATCAACAATACCATGTGTTACTTAGTACTTCCTTCCTTTGCTCGATCAGAAGTATGCATTCATCAACCAGTGGGAGATGATGTGTTGTACTTCGACATTTAAAATCATGATGCAAAAAGCCATTGATGGGTGGGGGGCAGGGTTAGCTGTGAGTGCAGTGGTGCTGTGCATGGCACTGTGCATCCTGCAGGGCTGGCTGAGGAGCAGCAATAGCCACAAGAGCTGGGCGCTGCCTGGGTGTTATCCTGCACTGGAGAAATGGATTGTTTTGGTGTGATTGCTTCTTGTTTGCCTGCTTACTAAGGATTAAGGGGTCTTCTATAGCATTTTTCTTTCAATTTTCTTCCCTCTGCCTCTTGTCAAAATTAGTCCATAATTTCTGTTTTTCTGGAAAGCTTCTTGAGCTGCAGAGTGTGCAGCTCCATCACCAAACCCGGCATTTTTTAGCAGGATCCATGTAGTTTTTTGTGGTGCATGAAAAGGCTTCAGAGAACTCTGGAGAGTTTTGCAATGATCCTATGACCCTTTAAAACAAAACAAGAACATTGTGGCGTTTTTAATTCCCTTTTTTCAGTAAAGGAAAAAAAAAAACACAACCCAAACAGAAAGATTCACATTTTTAACCTTTTTCCCCCATCACATTTTGCCCATCCTTAGTTTTCGCTGGCATTTTTTCACAGCTCTGCTTTGCTGACGAGTTTCCTGGCATCAGGAGAACGTGGCCCTGAGCTGGAGGAATGGCTCTCCCTTCTCAGGGAACGTTCATTTGCATTTGTAGTCCAGTCAGATTGAAACGAAGAGGATACTGTTCCTCTGGGCGTTCTCCACAAATGTTTCAGTGAAGGAGTTTCTTGGAATAAAGACTCAAACAAACAAGAGCTCTCCAGTGAGTATGAGGAAATTCCAGCTATGGCAGTTCTTGTGTGTGTAATTGTGAACATGTGTGAGTGTAACTGCAAGGAGCCTCTTGTTGCTTCAGGAATGGAAAAAGTGCAGATGTACCTACATGGGGCAGCAGCTTCAGCTCTGAACGTCGGACATGGGTACCAACACATGTGGATGTGGGCCTGCAGCTGAACTCAAGCAAGGTGTTTGAATGACCCAAAAGCTAAATTTTTTTCTATGCAAATAGCAATTTTTATGAAGCACTCTGTCCTACCTGCAGGAGACACAGCCTGTTGTTAGTGTTTGAAAAACCAAAAGATAATCCAGCCAAACTCCATCAAGCTGAGTGCACTGGGAGCCTTCATGTGGTTTTAATAGTGTCACATCGCAGTCATCTTGTGGGTATGTCCTGCGTACTGAAATGCTTTCCTTTTCAGAGCTCTTCTGTGAGTCTCATACTGTAAACTACCTCACCTTCTGAAAACATCAGTATGGTTCCTCATTAATATTTGTGTAACTGGATATAAAGTTTATAGCTTTTCCTACTGATTGAAAAACTGCACAATACAGAATGTAATGTGCTCAAGATATGCACAGATAGGATTGTGTGAAGATGCTGAACTAGTGGATTTTGGGGAACTTGTGATTCATGCAAATTAGGTATAGAAGGAGCAAAGCGCAGCCTCGTTAGCAGTGAGACCAAATTCAGCTGAGCGTAGGACTTTGCACAAATGGCCTCTGTGAGAGATGTGCAGGAAGTACAGAAACCACCCACAGAGAAATGCCAGTCAAGCAGCAGCTGAAGGAACAGTCACTACTTTCACCAAATATTTGGGTATGTGGGACAAACAAGATAGCTCTGTGATGAAAAGCCATTGAAGGAGAGATACTGAAATGAATGCTCTGAATTGTATCAGGAGAGATATCAGCTTTTGTGTCTGAGGCTTGGAGATGACAGTTTTTCAAAGCTATGAGATGCACTGTGGTGTCTGCATTACTACATCATCTCACCACACTGGACCAGATCTGTTAGGCCCAAAGCACTGTTATACTACTGATGACCAAGTTGCTCTGGCCTAAAATGAACAGGCAGCCCCTAAGACTTTAACTCTGAACAGCCATTGTTCTGCATGCCTCTGCTGAATTCAAGCCCACCTTTTCTTGGTAAGGCTAACCAGAAATACAGGACAGAAAATACAGTTTTGTGTGTTGCACCAACACACACAGGTTTGTTTCTGTTTGAAGATAACTAACCTTCTAGCTAAAACTCCCTTCTGTTACCCTTGCAAGAGGAGAGAGCAAGCACAGTGGTGTTGTGTATCAGCAGGCACAGTGGAGCCTGCCTGGGGCTGCAGGCATTGCAAGCAGTGCAGCTCACGTAGGAGTGAGGACGCCAATCCACCCTGCTGGAGGAGAACGTTTTTCTGGCTCTGGATAGGAAAGTTTTCCTCTCTCTGATTGTCTTTGGGCAAACAAAGGCTACTGACAAAAGGCCATCTCTCTCATGTTGGTGTTATTATTTAAAAGAAGGTGGATTATTCTCTACTCGTAGAAGAGGAAAACCTTAGTACTCCACAGGTTAATTGGAGATTCTATCTGTGCATTTACTGGCAGCAGATGTCCACCCATGAGTCTTTATAAGAATCCTATCAGGAGCTGTTGTGGGAGCAAGGGGACTTCTGGAAGAGCAGTGCATTCCAGGCAGTGGCTGGGGCTCCCCTGTAACTGATGTGCATTGGGTAGCACATGGTGGTGGCTGTGCCCTTTGACAGTGGCTGCTCAAAGCTTCTCAGCAGTGTGGGCAGAATTGAGGTTTATGGCCTTGGGAGGGAGGACAACTGCCCCACAGCCTTGTTCTGCCTGTGGAGCTGCCTAGGAACTGTTGTGCCTGGTTCTATCAGCAAAGCTGTGCTTGGGCTGAGGGGCAGTCTGCCTCCCTCAGCCATTTGCACTGTGCTATCTTTGTGCTCTGTAAATGCTTAAATACCTACTGTGATGAATGAAACCTAGCCTTCTATGTAGGACTTCTTAAATTCAGCAGCTGAAAGCTGTGTTATATTAAGGAATTACACTGAAGATTGCTGCGCATGCTGACCTGAATTTTCCTGGGCTGTGAACGTCGGTTTTGATGGAGTTCACAGCATATTCTGGTCTGTATGTTCCACACCATACCTACACATAACAAAGAAAAGCATCTGTTAGCAATGAGATTGTCCAGGAAGAAACCTGCTGTCATTTCATGATGAAATACTATGAGATTAAATTTCATATTGGGATGTAATAAAACTACTATTATTTTTAAAGTGTATTATTCTCAAACAAAGGCATTTGAGCACAAGAAGCTGCCCACCTGATTTATTCCTAGATGAATTCCTTTATATGCGTAAGATGAACTTTACCTGACAAGACTTTACTTTCACTACCTTGTAGAGAACACTGCTCAGTTTAGCAGCTCTGACAGCTCTTAGTAGAGCTAAGAAGTCAGCCTACTCTTCCTGACCTACTGTTAAACTGTAACAGAGTGATTTTCACAGCTTTCAATCAAGCATGTGAAATACCTGTGCAAAGTTCAGAAAAAACAGCTGCTGATGGTTCATGTCCAGGCCAGGGAGAAGTTTTTCTTTGCCATTCTTTTTCACAAAGTTCTCATAAGCCTGCAAAATGAATTGTGCCGAAATGTTACAACTTCCAATCTATACAGTCTACATGAAGTGATGACAAGGAGGAACATGGTGGATTCCTTGACACAATTTATCACAAACTACCTTGGCCATTTATCTTGCTACGTGATAAAAACAGGACCATTCCTTAGTACTGCAGTTACAAGTGACCTAACTGTATCAAAACAGGTTTTGCAATAAATGGAGCTTACAATAGAGTTGTACACCTGGTTTACTGCCTCAGTGACATTGGATTAAATAGTGAGAGGAACAGGCTTAAAGAAAGCAATTTTCTGTGACAAAAAAAAGAGAAGGTTAATGGAGTAATTTCAGCTAGACAGGCTCATCCAGATCGCTAGGTCTTTGTGTAGCCATGCTTCTTTTTTATAGAGGAAGAAATTAAGGATGCAAATGAGTACAGTGTTCTAGCTATGAGAATTAGTACTACACTTCATCAAGCTTTATGATAATTTATGCATTAAATTCCACTGAATGGTTACGTATTTTCCTAGGCAATCCTTTCATGGGGTTAATTAATGAATAACAGAATATGCTCTGTAAAAGAAATGGCTGTGAGATTCTCTTCTATTGACTTAGAGGTTGGTGTAGTGAGGCATCAGCAAGCTCTGTGCTAAAGCAGCCTCCACGCAGTCAGTGCTCAGAGCTGTCTATATGAAGCTTTACCTGCAGCATCTCTGTCTCCTGCAGCTTCTGTGGGTCAGGCATTACTGTCAGTTACCCTCAGTTTGTACCTTGCATGGTAAAGGTGGATGTGGGAAGGCACAGTGCTGTGCTGCTTTCTAAAGCGCAGCCCCAAACAGCAGAGCTGATGCATCTCACCTGTGTCCCAGCATGGGACCCCCAGCATGTGGGTCTGTGGCTCAGTGCCTGGGCTGTGTACCCCAGCCTGCCTCTGCCACAGTGCTCCTCGGGACACTGCGAGATGTGATCCAAGGATTCGTTTCCTCCTGCACTTACTCATCTTTCTCTCCTAGCCTTGTGTTTTCTTGTCCCTAATGAGGGAAGAGATGTGTGGCAAAAAGTTTCAGCAGTTGCAAAACCGTTGCAACAGCACACGTGCTGTCTTGTTGTTGTTTTTTTTCCCTCTCAAATATTTATCATATATGTATATATCATACAATGCAGAGTTCCAGTATCCAATTTTACTAGCATATAATTGCAGAGAGAAGTCAGTTTTGTCAGTTATTTAATGTTGCATTATAAAAAGTTGATTTCTACAAGTAAACCTCTTGGTTTGGTTTTTTAAGCAAATTGCAAAAGACTTTAAAACCTTTCCATAGTAAGAACAACTGCTTTCATGATTCTCATAAAGGCCATGTGTCAGAATGTGTTGTTTGTCTACCACCACTTAAAGAAAGATGTTGACAGATTAGAGGAATATTCTGACTAAAGGCAGTGCCAGGCTGCCAGAAGAGTAAAGTCAATCACTGAAGTGTTAGCTGAAGAAAGTGCAGTCAACAGGTCTACTAAAAGGCTCCAGAAATTTTGGTTGTTCACAAGCTGAGCAAGATTCAGCAGTGCCACGATAGCTCAAAAAAGGCAAATATTATACTGGGGTGTATAAACAGGAGCATCTTATATAAGCCACAAGAAAGAATCCTTATACTCCACTTGGCATTGGCCAGGTCTGAGCTGGAGCACACTGTACTGTTTCAAGCACTGCACTCAAAGAAAGACGTAGAGCAACTGGAGGGAGTCCAGAAGAAAACAGCAAGAATGAGCAGAGGTCTAGCAAACATGACCTATGAGGAAAGATTGAAAGGATTGGGTTTGTTTAGTCTAAAGAAGAGAAGTCTGTGCTTTACATAACAGTCTTCAAATATGTAAAAGGTGACTGAAAAGAAAGGAATAGATTGTTCTTTGTTTCCATCATTGATAGCAAAGTTGTGATAGCATTCAAACTACAGCAAGGATGTGATGGATCTTCTCTTACAGAGTGTTTGAGTGGTTGGCTGTGCCTGCAAGGATGGGGGTAGACTGGATGGCCTCTCAAGATTCCTTCTGGTGTATTTTTATTTATTTATTTATTTTACTGCTTCTGATATTGTCATAACTAAGGAAATCCAACTGGCTTTCTTTGGTAACACTTGCGAGTTTTTATTTTTTCTGTCTATATCCATTCCTTTCGGAAAGAGAATCCTCTGTTATGTTGAATCCTCTTGTGTTGTCTTTTTTCATGTGTAAATATTCAGGTAACTGAAGATCGGAGTGATCTACTATGACATACTGACTTCTCTTTTAGACTCAGAAGTCATTCTTTAATCTCTCGTTCGTAATCACGTTTGCCCTCAAACATTTATATTTCTATTGTCGGGAGTGTTGCTGATGGCCTTGCTTGCAGGAGTGGTATGACAAGTTTGTGAAGTGTGACTTGGCCTGTGCATTCCAGCAGGCACTTTGTTGAGCAATGACAGCAGTCATGTTTTCCAGTGTTGGGTATTTTGCTACAGAATAAGGTGTTCAGGGAAGGAGGCAAAGCATTGTATTATGATGGCCTGCACTGTCAGATATGTAAGTAACATGGAAAAGACCTAGAGAAGCTGACTTGGTTCTCATCTCTCAACCTTCAGTCACAAAGAGAAGACCTTGTTTTACTCTGAGATGGCAAATCCGAAGAGTTAGATATCTATTTCGGGAAGAGAATGAAAGGAAAACCAGAAAGCAGACAAGCTCCCCACGGAAGGCTTAGGACAGGGCATCCAGGTATCACTGACATCTCTGGATACCTGCCCAGGGGATGCTAGTCATGTGTATGAGACAAAATTCTGAACAGTGTACATAGTGAATAGAGTTCATGTAGGCAGAGATTTAAAACAACAACAATAAAAGCTGCCTCTGTTTGTTGATAGAATTGAGAAGAAAATCATTCTGTTCTTCCTTCCTGGTACAGAAAAGCTGGTGAAGACAGGTAGCCAGAGCTCAGTATCATCAGTTTAGTTTGGTGATTGTTCAAATGTGGCCTGAGACAATTAATAGGATGAAAGAAATATGACTGTTGTCAATGGTTTTAAATTATGCTTTGATGACAGGATAGGTGTGGTCCTGTCCCTAGCACAAAAACAATGCTGCTGCTTCAAATGCTGTGAAATGAATTGTCTTAATAATTTCAGCTAGAATAAAAAAATGGATACTTCTTACCTTATATGCTTGTCTAACACCTCCATTATCAGCAATGTTTTCTCCTAGTGTGTTAATTCCGCTCAGCTGTAAAAGAAAAAGAGAATACAGTCTCTGGAGGGAAGAGCTTATCCAGGATCCGGATGCCAAACAATGTGCCTAATTCACTTTTACATGAGGAGAATTGCCTTAAGATCTGAAGTTGTAGAAAAAGACTATGACAGAAAGGATCTCTGAAAAGTCTCCTTTTCCCTTATCTCAAAATCCATGCAGACACTCTTGCTTTCCCTAACCTTCTTTCTCCCCACACAGGTGGCTTTCTAGGACCTTGCATCTCTCTTATTCAATTTCTGATGCTTAGTTGTGTGTTCATTCATTCTTCCTATGTTCTCTGTGTTTTTAATGCTCACTTTCTTACCACAGTTCCTATGAGGGGAAGTTGGCAAAATCTGTCCACGTGGTCTACAAAACAAGTTAAATCTAAACTCCAGGTAGTTGTAATTACCAGTTAACAGACATCAGCAAATCTGCTAGGAAGTCATTAAGTATGTTTCTGGATGTTGGGCAAGTTACGTATCTCTTTGGTAGCAAAATGCAGAGAATAAAACTATTTAGCTCTTACTGTATTCATAAATCAGTGAGGTATCACTAATGGTGATAAAGCTTTGGTAATACAGGAACCATCAGTTTATTTTTAAGACATTGTACTTCTGACTTGCAGCCCAGGACACTGGGTTACAATATTCAAAACCAGAAAATTGAACTTAATCTGTGAAAAATGGCAGATAAACATGCTGAAAAATTCTTTTCCTTTAGTGGTTTCCCTGTTGGTCCCAGATGTTTAAAAAGTGATTGGGAAATCCTCAGCACAGGAGGGTTCCTCTTTTCCCTATTCAGTACAATGGAATATATTGTCAGCCTGTATAAAGACCATACTGTGGTAGTCAGAGAAATATCTTCTTGTATAGCAGGTACAGAGTCATGTGTAGAACCTGTGTAGACAGAGCTGTTGCTTCCAGTTGCAGTTTTACAGCCTGCAGTCAATGGGAACAGGGCTGGTCTCCTGGTCAGCATGAGGAACGCCTGCCTCACCACTGCTTGCTTGTGTGTGTTACTGACCACTGATAGGTGATGTCAGACAGACCTGATTCTGCACTGTTGTCATGGAATTAGGGCTTCCAGACAGTAATAATGCTAATAGTTTTAACTCTGCAGAGTGCTATCAGTGCAGTTACATTTAGGTCGGCTGTTTTCCATCTTTTCCTTGCAGTCCTGCTGTCTCCTGCTTCTTCTCAGCCCTGATTGTTTTCTAGTTCAGATGCTTATCTTCAGGAAAGAGTAAGAGACTTCTGAGTGAAGGAAAGCAGGAAGCAGGGTTTGTTTTGATGCTTTAGGGAAAGAAGATCAAACTTGCGTGTATTTTTTTCTTTTTCTGCTCTAATGGAATTAAAGAAGACCCTTTGAGGGCCTATAAAGGATCCTGGAGCAACAGCTTCTAGGGCTGCCACTCAGACAGGACGTGCACCCGCCTTGTTCAAAACTGGCAGCATAGATATGGAGTTGTTATCTTTGTTTTTAAGAATCTTTTGCTGTTTTTCCTCAGCCATTCATGTGAAAAAGGCTTTGCATATTTAGAACATAAGATTTCTGTGTTTTCTCATTGAAAAAAAAGCGAACATTGGTAGTTATAAATAAATAAGGCATACCTGCTGTCCACCTGCTAGGTCCCATGAGAAGTTTCCATACTGGTACACCATGCACTGCGATAAGTTCTTAAAATTGCGTGCAGATTCTTCAGTCCACCAGTCTACGAGGTCTCCATTCTCATTGAAATTTCTGCCTGTAACAGTATTTTGACAAAATGATGAATACAGGAAAAAAAGAAGCTTTTGATGCATTAAGAAGCTTAGCTAATAATCACTCATAGAAAGAATCTCTCTCTAATGAGGCAGTCATATAGATGACATGCTCCTATTTTTCCTTTTTTTTTTTTTTTTTTTGAAAGGGCTACATTCCAGATAAGGAGTAAAACAAACAAACTCAGCCTGAATTAGAAGGTGTGAAGGTGTGAGGAGGGCTGTTAGGAATCATGGCACAGTTCTGACCCGTGCCTTGGTGTGGTGCAGAAATGGATGTGGCTGGGCAGCAGGTCTAACACCTGGGTCCTTGCGTTCATAGCTAGACTTGCCTCGTGGCACACATGCTCGAGATGTTGTGGAGCTTACACTTGGCGCTTTGTTTGCTTTTTTCCTCTAAGAAAACGCTTTGTAGTAGCCTTTGGCAAAAGTAAGCGACCAGGTGCAAGGCTAAAGGCTGCAGCCTGGCAGTGAGAGGAGTGTCTGGGAAACCCTTTGACTGGCTCTTCTGGAAATCATCACGGGGAACAACACTGTAACACCTCAGAAATCCAAATTTTGTCGTATATATGAAAACTTGGTCTTCATTTTGTTGGTTCGCTGGAATGATGAAGCACAAAAGCATGTCAAATATTCTGTGCACTCTATGCTTTGTAACTAGAAACTCAACCTTACCGTTGTCATCAAAACCGTGTGTGATTTCGTGACCAATGACCATGCCTATGCCACCATAATTCAGAGATTTGGGCTGAGATGCACTGAAGAAAGGAGGCTGCAAAATGCCAGCAGGAAAGACTGCAAAAAGAAACCCAACACGATTAAGGTACTGCCTTGTTCAGCTCTGTGTGCAGTGTGAACAGACCATTTTTACAGATGTTTGCCGAAGTCACGCTATTCCCTCAGATTTAACAGCAACAGTAATTTTATTTACACGTGGTAATGGCTGTAGGGAATAAGGAACAGATCAGCACGACCGCTCCCCTTCCCCACGGGCTTGGCATAAAGGAAAACAGCTCTTGGGATGCTTGCATAATCACAAGCACTGTAAGTATTGTTACTATTTAGTTTTGCAAAAGAGCAGTTGGACTTTTCCAGTTTGCAGCCATTAGCATTCTCAGACTCCTGTAGCTTTATTATATATATGTCACAACATCCTGAAAGATGGCAAGGTGTTCCTCGGGAATGAAAACGTTCCTTGATGGTTTTTCCCACTTGAAACCAATCTCAGAGAAATCTGTTCTTTTGTAACTAGCTCTAACTCCCACTAGGACCAACGCAAACCGGCCACACTAGCAGTGAAAGAATTGGAACAAAGAGCTTCTCTTTACCCACTTCTACGCTAATTTCTTTATGCTTTCAGGAAGCAATTTAGTAAAAATAAATCATCTTTCAATTGTGACCTTTTATAAATGAAGATTTTTCTTAAAAGGTTCTTTATAGATACAAAACTTGTATGTAAAGGAATTATTTGACAGTTCTCATATTGTGAATGAAGAAGAACATGCTGCTTGTGTTTCCTTGTAAATCCCAGTACAGTTCTGCCCATTTCTTTCAAGAGGAGAAGGAATCATAAGAAAAGGAAGATGTTAAAAAATGAACTACTGCTGTGTCCTGTGCAAACTGCTGCCTGCTGTCGCAGTAATTCTGTGTCATTGTTACTTTGACACTGCATTAAGTTGTCTGCATGTTTCTCTGTTCATTTTTATTAGCAGATGCTGATAGTAAAGACAGCAGTAAAAATGCTGCACTGTGCAATGGGTATTTTGATGACAGGAAAAACAAAGCAATACTTGGGGTACAGCATCAGAAAATTGTCCTTTTCATGAAGCCCCTGACTAGCAAGGTATTTGCTCAGAATGATGGGCATGAGTCCTGGTGGCCTGAAACACAGCTGGAATCATTGGGAGCTCAGCATAGCCTTTGCTTGTCAACAGAGAAGCACCTTCCCTTCCAGCAGGCAGGCAGTTCCCCAGGCCTTTGAGTTCAGTTTAATTAACACCCTGTCCCCTCAGCCAATTTTAGAGTAAAATGGCACAATTCATAGACATTTTTTTTTCTACTCTGCCCTTCAGGAAACAAATTTATTCCAGGAATTCTATTACATAAAACATGGATAAGCATTCCTCCTATAGTGGGATACATTTCAAGCAGAGGTTCAGACAAGAAAGGAAGTGGAACTCCTTTGGGATATAAAAGACAGACTACTAATCAGCTTTGGGAACATCCAAGGCAGGAAGAAGCATGAAGTGTTTCCCCCAGAATCTGTGCAGCCCTACACAAAAGAACACGCTGCTTTTCTTCCTGAATGTGTTTGCAAACCGTAACGCCTTTGTCAGGAGTGACTGTTGCACAGCATTCCTCAGTCAGGAGCACAGATCTGCTCTGTTTGGTACAGCTGCAAGGCAGGAGGTGCTGGTACCCAAAGGAAGAAATGCTGGACTGCCTTACTAGCAGCTCTTCTACTGTTTTTTTTTTTTTTTTAATGTTGAGTGGCTTCTTTAAGATCTGCTTTAAGTGCTGCTGCTGGAACCGTGAGGATCACAGCCATGTGAAGATGCATTAATGGTGCTCTAAATTTCCTCCGTATCCTGCATAAAACTCCTTTTTAGAGGTTATGTTTTTTCTTGTTTTTAAAGAATGTTACTAAGCTAATTCAGACATCACTCTAAAGATCAGACTGCTTTAATTATCCTGACATGCCATAGCTGCAGGATGAGGTAAGAATTTATGGCTCAGATTAACCTCTACTCATCAGCTTCAGTCTTACAAATCATGATTTCTTTTCTGCAAATTATTGAGCAAAACTATTTTAAACAAAGCCTTCTAAGCAGAACTTTATGCTGAATGTATGCTCAAAATGCTCACAGCTTTACCACCTACCAAAATGACTGCACTTTCTTGCCATCCTTAAGTGTAAGCAGTGCGTATCAATTAAGTCACACAGCTTTGTCCCTACCCCTGCAAAGCCAGAATAGTTTGGATTCATTGAAAAAGTTAATGAACTTTCACAAACATCCTTACTTGCACCAACACAAGGAGTTTTCTCCATTCCCCCTTGTTCTTGCTGGCATGGAGTTAAGGCTGAGTGCTGCATTCCCTTTCTCCCCAAACCAGCAGCTTTGTGCTTCTGCAAGTGCAAGCTATCGCAGAGAGTCCGGAGCCCAGTGAGAGATGTCAGGATCGTACTTGCAGGAATCTGTTTAATGGATCGCCTGAATGAGCAACATCTACAAATGTTGGACTGTTGGACTCCTTCAGCTTCTTCAATTTCTTAATGGGGACCAAAATAATTAAATAAGAAAAATTCTTCTGGAAGGATTTAGTAATAATTTGGTAAACCTTACCTATCTGATTTCTACTTGCAGAGTAAAAAGCATTGACAACAGCAGCTCCACTTATCCACCTATTAACAACAGGAGAACAAAAGTTAGAATTTCAGGTCTTAATGGCAGAGTTAATAATTACAGGTACAAACATGGAGACTGAATTGCGTAATAATAGAGGCTGGAAGGCATTTTTGGAGATTAAGTCCTGTGCCTCTCCTCAAGGCAGAGCCAGCTAGAGGAAGTTGCTCAGGATGATGTCTGGTCAGGTTTTGAATATCTCCAAGGATGGAGAATCTAGAACCTCTCTGGGCAAACTGTGCCAGTTCTTGACCACTCTTACTGTTAGAAGTAGTTGTTTCTTAAATGTAAGTGGAATTTCTTGTATTTCATTCTTCTGTTCTGTCACTAGATACCACAGAGAAGGATGCTTTCTCTGCTTTACTCCTACCCATGAGTATTTCTACTGATATGATCCCCTGCTGTCATTTCTCCTTAAAGCTGAACAGTCCCAGCTCTCTCAGGCTCCTGGTTTATCTGCATTATTTCAGAGGAGAGCACTTCTGAAGTTATTCTGCTTATCCTCATTTAATTGTGCTTTATTTGGCATTGCACAGTGTTCTCCAAACAAGAGAAATCAAACACATGGGGATGAAATTCATCTTTCAGATAAACTTAATTGAAAAGCCTGCTCTCCAAAAGTCCACTTAATCCACTCCTGGAGCTAAGAGACCAGACTAGAGCTACTCCACAGTACTCAGCCTTCCATGCCATCCCCCTCATTTCATCATCCTACTGTTAAAGCAGGTCCAGCCTTTGAGAAGGGAGCAATGCCCTCCAACCTGCCCTCTTAATGGGGGAAAAAGTGCAGGAAAGTAATCAAACTGTTGCTGATTAGCTTCCAACTGTGTACCTCCTCCTGTGCAAACTGAATGAAAATTTATATAAGGTATTTTTAAATACTTACTCCTCTTTGTCCACCTTTTCTCTAAGCTTTTTCAGTCTTTTCTTTTGGGTAAATACTAAATTTTGAATGATGTTTTCAAAGTATTCTTCTTCTTTGTAGTTCAGCTGCAAAGAAAGAAGGAAAAATACTTAGAGGTGGTATTTGATGCAGTTTGAGTTACACAGGTGGTTCACATCGTACCATAAGAGTTAGTTCACATTCATGAGTAAGCAGATACAGTCACTAAGGTACAAACCTTTACATCTATTTCAAACCTGTGTTAAATCTGTGGCAGATTTAGGAACACTAGACAGAACGCCATTGGCTCTATGTTTTATCCTAGCATAACTCCTCTACAATTTATACATTCCCTTGAAGTATGACCAAACACACATCACCATCTGTCCTGATCAGCTGTATTGCACTGAATAAATAAGAATAAATAAGAATAAATAAATAAGAATGCATTCTTATTTACCCTTGTAGAACTGAGGACAAGATTGAGGTGCAGATGCAGATGATCTGGCTACGAAGATAAAGCCACAGTTTCTCTCTTAAGACTTTTTTCTAATTATGTGCCTGTTGTGGATGCTTACCTCCTGGTACTCGTTGTTCAGCTTGTTGTCATCTGTCATGATCTCATCTGGATAGCCAATCCTCTCTCTAATTGCTGTTGCCTAGAGAAAAAACAGTTTGATGTCCATAGCAGATCTACCCGTATTTTCAGATCAATAAGCTAGGTAGGCAACTGCAGAGAACCCACACCTTCAATTATATGCAGTTTTTATTTTCTTTTCTTTAATCATTGGAAGCACTATAACGTTTATTGTTAATTATAACAGTGGAAATTTTCAGAAAGTATCTTGTTCCTTCTTTTATCAGTAAATTTAGAGAAATGTACCCAGGATGCCAGAAGCACTGCAACTATGCCTTTGAGTTGAAAGTGTAGGTTAAACAGATAGTAGATCTCCTGAAAAAATTGACATATTTTACAGACTAAAATTAATGTCTGGAAGGTTTCTAACTTCATGTTAATGAAGTTATAGGAAATCACATTTACAATTTTTGAGAGCCTCAGTTTGAGTCTATATCAGAATTTTTAATGAGCTCCCATGTCCCCTGATTGCACTGAAACCATTTATTAAAATCTTCTCAGATTTTGGCAATTTTAAGTCCTAACAAAGGCTTCTCCCCCAGGCCTCACTCCATGCCTATCCATAGCTAAATATTCATTGTACTTGATGACAATATCAGAAGCAATTGAAAAACAAAACAAAAACCAAATGGCACTTGGCAGCTCTTTTTAATATTTCCATATAATCATGCATAAATAAATTTAGCAATAAAATCACATTATTTATGCAACTAATTTTCTGATGTAGGTTATTCCCACAAACAGATGAACATTATAAGCAACATGTGGAGTGCATCAGAGCTTTTCCAGTAGTCTGCATTTCATCTTGTCAGTAAGGTTGTTTGCAGCAGTAGAAGCGTTTCAGGGACTTTGTAAATGCACTGCTTATGTCTATGATTAGCACAGAATTCATAGGATTTGCAGTTTGGTACATCAGTTACACGGCCATTCCTGATCAGGAGTTTTGGGTGGTTATACCTGGTTGGTACATGCAGCTATTGAAGCTTTCTCCTACCAGGGGTGCACTTGCACCAGCTAATAAGATGGCATCTCTGCTATGTGATCCCATGAGAGCTGGGATAAGCCCAGTGGATGCTGTGTGTGTCTGAGGTATCTGTTTCAATCATTTATTTTTGCAGACTGGGCAGTCTGGAGATTTTGATAAAGCAGTAATATTTGAATAGTTATTTTTAATGTTTTTCCTAAGATTCTATAACACAAAAATTTGGAGGTCCTGCTCTGCAATTAATATAAACATGACATTTTCCAAGCATTATTATTTTCATAGTAAAATATCATTAAGAACTCAAAGTGGAAGACTTTTTATCCTTACAATAAAACAAATTAGAGATATAATAAAGTCCTTTCAGTTACCCAACTCAGTGCTCTCTACAATTGATTTTCATTACTCCAGACTTGCATGAACTGTCTGAAGCTGCTTCTGCCCTCAAAGGACAATTCACTAAAGATCTCCAGCCCACGGTTTAACTTCTTATTCTTGTCCTATTGCTCACAGTAGCTGCTTAAATCACCACAGATCATTCCTTCTCATTTTCAATGTTACTTTCATATAAATATTCGTTTTCTATCCACTTAATCATTGGTTTGCCTCGGAGGTCTTCATCTTTCATACAGATATCTCCCATTTTGTATTCTTATTTCCAGAGAGGCCCCTGCCCATGTAATTTGAATCTGACATTCAAAGTCTGCAAGCTGTTGTGCCTCTATAAACAGGCATACATGCATTTATGTACACACATGCATACATATATGTATACAGAAGTGTTACTGCTTTTCTCTTATGGAAAATGAACAGTTGTATACTTATTTTTCAGAGGAACAAACAGTATTTCCAATGTTTAAGATTTGACTTACTTTTTGTTCTGCTTTCTTTTTGGTTTCTGCATCCATCCAGGTGAGATCATCTAAGGTTTCTATAAAAACACCACGTATATCTGCAATCATTTCCTCCACCTTGAAACAAAAACACCGGTATGTTACAGATCCATGGGAAATGATTCTATTATTTTCCCACAGTTATGGCTTATTGGCTTATATATGGTTTATTATCACCATCCTGTTTCTCCTGCACTAGCTGACTGTGTGCTGTTGATGGATGCTCACTCTGGAGCTCAAGTTAAGGAGCTCTTTCAGCCTGGGAGTAGGCACAAGCTCACAAAACGATGCTGGTTATTCAGGTTACAAAGAATCTGTCATTTGCCCATCTGTTGCATGTTGTGCATCTGATGAAATTACTTTTATATATGTTAACCACAAAAATGGTATATCTTAAGCTTTGATTACAGAAGGAGTGATAGGAAACAACCGCATCTTCATTTTGGGTATGTTTTCAGAAATATTCGGTGTGAGTGAAGGCAGAGAGAAAGAACTGATTGTCCCTGTGCCCCCCTTCGGCAGGATGTGAACTGGCAGCAGCACAGAGAATAAGCAGTGCCGTGGTTCTAGCAGGGGCTGCTTCTCGGTGTTACTGGCTCATGTATGGCCCACTGCTGACGTGGCTGCATGCCTTTGATTCAGGGCCAGCTGATGGGGCAAGTGGGGCACACAGATACCTCCCTGCCTCCAGGTGTGCACACACAGTCTCTTTGTATTTCACATTACTTCACAATGTGCTTGTTTGAATGGAAGCAAGCCAGCTCAGAATTAGCAATGCAAAAGTACTTAGGTGTAAGGGAACGACTCTCATAGCACCTTCATGCTTGTTACTGCTTAGTGGTACATTGCTTGAGAAGCAAATCCAAAGGTTAGGTCTTTTAGGAAGTGACCCTGCTATACAGAGGAATTGAATCAAAAGTGTGATCGAACCTTTAAAGAAGCATAAGTGACAAGTGATGTTTGGATGGCACACAGGAAATTTGCTGGAAGGCTTACCACGTGTTTACTGTCTCCAGCAAAGGCCTCCTGCACATACAGCCGTCCCACCGCACTCTCCATGTTGCCATTGACATAGTTGGCACAGCGACGCCAAACAGCAGTTTCTGACGTGGTGCCATACAGAGCCTGTCAGACAGAAACGTCAGAGAGAGCAGTGATATCAGGGCACATGGAACCTGCAGGTGGGCTGATGAGCAGATGTGCGTTCGGAGGAGCCTAATGGATCTTCAGTCAGTGCTGAAGCTCCTGTTTGTACTTACGGCAGCTAAATGGACTCATTGTGTGAAGGGCATGTCCTCCACAGGCCAAGGAAATAGATGAATCATTAGTGATATTCTTTATCTTTTCAAAGCATGTGAGGTAGAGAGAAGAAAGCTACTCTAAAAGCCAAGAATGGGAGAGGTTAAAGAGGAATACCCAGAGATAGAGCTCTCACTGTCACAGGCATCTGTAGTGCAGGGCAGCTCTGGCAGCACCGCTGTGACTGCACAGCTGTACAGCAGACTCATGCCTGCAGCATTAAGGCTGTGTTTTCCACCCGTGACAGCTGTGTCTGTGTGCTGCTGGTGTAGAAAGCTGCTACTCTAGAAATGAAAACTTACCTGCTGCCATTCAGGTAATAGTGACTTGCAACAGAAGGGGATTGCTGTGGATCTGTATGTGTACAGTGCCTGGTGTGTTAGGACTGACACCTCCCTCACACAGCAGAAACGTAGTTGTATTTGAAAGCAAACTTAACAAGAGAAATGCTAGTTTCTATTCGCTGCACTTAGTCTGAGAAGCTTCAGCTACGTTATATCACGTATTATTAGTAAATTAGTAGAAAGTAGGTGTTTTTTATACATAGGGTGGCAAGGTCCTTTTCTCTTGTTGTTTCAAACTGTGACGTTTTTCTAAATGACACTTCCCCAGTGAACTTCTAGGATGTTGTGGAAATATTCCTCAATGATCTTATAGGTCTTTTCCAACCTTAGTGATTCTGTGATTCTGTGATGATACAGACAAGCAAACATGAAGATTTATATTGAAAATTACATGCTTTAAGAGGCAGGGGAAAAAGATGAAGTAATTAATGAATACGAGTACCCTGTTCAGGTGTATCAAACTGATCAAACTAAACCTCCATTAACTCCCTCCAGTAATTATTCCCTTTTTTTTTGGTAACAGGCAGAATCTCCTTAAAACACTGCATGTGTGCATAGAAATGTTTCCTCTGTCATTGCTAGATGAAGCAAAATGGCCTTAACTGTTTTTTAATGCAGCTCAGCAAACTTAAAAGTAGAAAGTTCAACTGGGGCAATAGAAAAGATTTCCATCTGCAATCTTCTGTGGGATTGCTCAGCATTTCCTTAAAAGCACTAAAATATCTGCAAGATCAAATGACTGAAAAACGAGACTGGACCCATCCTGTTTGACTGTGACTCTCTTCCTTTGGATGCTGAGGAGTTTCTAACAAGCCAATCCAAACTGTTGCATAACGGTATGCTAGCAAGAGGGAGCCTTACCAAAATGGCCATATCATCAGGGGAACGTTTCAGATTTGGAAATAACAGAGACCAAGTAGCAGAACAGCGCCTCTCAGATCCACTTCAGCTATTAAGCATAGATGGTATAGATGATGTGTACACTCCAGCTGAAGCTTTAGCAAGCACATCTAGCTTTTGTGCACAACATTCAAAATACATTACATTTTATACAGTACAGCCATTAAAGAATTATCTTTTTTGGTTAACAATGATCATTTTTACAACTTGAAAAGAAAGATTAATTTCTGCACCTTACGAAAAGCATTCCTGGTATCCTTGTAGTTACGGCTAAGGCTGTTTACAAGGTCCATTACGAATCGCCAGATCATGTAGTTTTGAAGTTCTCTATGTAATAAAACAACGATAATAAGCTGGTAACGTGTTTAGGCTTTTGAAATACACTGGAAATAAAATGTAAATTAGAAAGATACCTATCTACCATACCTACCTGGGGGTATACTTATTAAGAATAGACTTCAGCTTGGTAAGGTATTCTGGGTCATAAACAACCACATGTTCCGTGTCCTCCACATCAATTTGTACAGTTGACATTATATTGTTTATGAATTTTGACCAGTTGAATGCCTGGAAAATAAATGCATGTTATTTAAGGTTAAATCCTCCAGAAACAGCCTTTAGCTATTTTTAAAAATATGTTTCCCTTGCACAATTGTGCTGATCTCCCAACAGCTTCACTACTTGTAAATGTTGTCATCACAATAATAACTGATCTGGGATCTTTTATATCCCCAGTGCTCTAAAATCCTATTAAAATAAGATGGTATCCAGCAGAAAGGGTCCGGATGTTGTTTTATTTTCAGAATAACACAATTAAAAATATTATGGCTCTTTCCATTTAGCCTGGGAAAGCAGAAAAGGTACTTTAAGTAAAATTTCACTTACTCTTTTGCTATATATGGCTGAGGTTTTCTAAATCAAAGTGTGATAAAAAGCTTTAATCCTCAGCACAATATAGCTCTGCAGATATGGAGCAGTATGAGATGTGTGGTACAAGTGGCAGTCTTTTCTCAAGCACACAGTAAGGGCTTGTTCTGAAGTATGCTGAAGTCCACAAAAAGCTTGATTTTAATAGGCTTTAAAACAGACACGCTAAATTCACTGTCTGTAATGAATTTTGTTCTGTGTGCCATACTATGAGATACTGTTTGGCAGCAGGTCCATGAGCATCTGACAGCAGGATGCCATGGCAGACAGTTCTCACTAAGATCGGTGTTCTCTGTTGTTTCCTGCCTCCCAGGTGCTAAAACCCCATGTGCTTTATGCTGGTGCTCACCAGAGGCCCACACAGCACTCACGGGGCAGTACCTGGGAAGATTATTTTCTGCTGTTTTCATTCTGTCACATCCACCCATGTGAACAGAGTGTTTTTCTACTGTGGGCACTCTAATCAGGAAATTCTTGATAGTTTGCTGATAAAACTAATTTCCCTTTGCTTGGTCTTTGCTCAGTGATATCGCGTGTCTCAGAAAGGAGACAGAGAACAGCAGTGGCTGGAGAGCAGGCAGTGCCTCGCTTCCTGCACTGCAGCACTGGGCTGTGTGCTGCCATGGCTCTGCTGCACAGCACGGCAGAACCTCTGCGTGCTCCTGCCTGGGAGCTTCACCACCTGCAGCTGACATTCAGCAATCTGCAGTGCATTTCTTGTTGTCCTCTGTGTGATACCGGCTGGTACAGACAGATCTTTCAGCTTGCAGCCTATGCAGAGTTGTGTATTCTTCCAGCAATTTAGCCATTCACCTTGTGAATAAATCACACTGATTTACAGCTGTCTCTATACAGAGTACTTGAAATTCCTTATGTGGCCCACGTCCATGTTGTAAGAGATGAGGCTCTGTGGACCAGTTTGACTGAGAAAGCAATTCAAATCAGAAGCTTTAAATCGTAATCAAAACTGTAGAGCTACTTTGTGTTTTTAGCAGGCTGGGTGGGTACTCATAGTGGAAAGGAAGGTGTTGCATTTAAAAAAAGTAAATAATCCTTGTGCTTGAAGAAAAAAAAAAAAGACATTTTGTTAATTTTTAAAATGCCTGTTATGCTTATTTGTCCAAAAGCAATGGGGATTTTTCCCAGTCTGGTTCTTTTGAGAGGAAAGCGGGAAAAGGTAATATCTTTTTTTTATCAGACAAACTAGCTGAAGAAATCAGATAAGCTCTCAGGAGTAGAATCTCTTCAGTTCTGAAAGAGAAGCACCAAACTTAAAGCTAATTTTAGGAATAATTGCTGTTCTATCCTTAGGCCATTACAACAACAGTACCAACTCCCATCATGGTCTTTTGAGCATTTTTGGATAAATTTAGAGCAGATGATTGCTGCTGATCTACAGTACTCCCCAGAAACTAAAAATAACCTGGGCAATACCGTTCTGTGAACAAGTTAGCTTCTGACATGATGATTGCATTCTGACATTATGACTGTAATGGTAAGTTGTCAAGCTAGATCTGTGGGAAGAGGTAAATCATGAAACTAATTGAGTTAGGCAGAATGGAACTGTCATATAATTTAAAATTAAAGAATTTCAAGTCAATAAAAATAGCAGAGACTATGAAACTGGGGTAGGAATCATATTATTTCCTTGTACCTGAATGCAGTCCTGCAGCCAGGTCACAGCGCCCTGCTAACCTGTGTTGCACACTTGTCTGTGTGCAGGACACGGGAGGAGGAGTTGTTTATGATGAACACGTCCAGTGAGCGTGGTGCTAATGGGACGGCACGCCTACATTATCACATCTTTAGATATTCTTTAGCTGGACTTTGTGGTGCCGTGAATTAAAGGTCATGCTGTGGAAGTGGCGTGTGACTCAGGATAGGAGTCAGTGCAGAGCTGAAACATCCTGGGGGACCCACAGTGGGAGGAATGGGCAAAATTTTCCTCACGCATGGTCATCATTTCCAGGGCTTTTCTGCTTGTTTTGGATTATCATCTTAAGGGGGAATGCTGGGGGAAAAAAGGACCTTTTGGTCTGAATCTGTAGCTCTGGATGAACACAGAGGGCCTGAACAGTCAGACACAGTCGTACAGCACACTGGAATGAATTGCTGGCTGCAGTCTTTTCGATCTCTTTGTGTTGAAGTAGAGGTGCAATATCTGCCTCCAAGTCAGCAGAAGCTGTGGGTACAGAAGCACAGGCTTCTATACATAGTGTGGTTCAGCAGATGTTTAAGTAATAGGCGGTGCAATACAGGAATCTTGTTTGACTTCAGATTTGTGTAAGATCAAGAAAAATGTCAAGCTTCTTCATTTAATCTCATCAGCCAAGAATATAAATATTAATTATCACTCACCATATGATTTATTTCCAACGAAAAGTTGTTCTGGAGTTGTGCCAGTGTCATTTTATTGTACAGCAAAAGTGGATCATTTCTGTCTTCAGACTTTGTTGTTGCCTATCAAAGTTAATAATGAGATTGAGTCAGTTCACAGGAATTTTGGTAAGCAGCAGCAGAAAGAAAACATTCTTGTTTCTGGCTTAATACATTGCTATGAGAAGTTTGCAAAAGTGCGAAACACCTTCTTCGTACATACAGATAGCGTTTCTTCAGGCACTGTGTGCTTTCTGATCAGCACGCGTGTGCTGCTGAGTTCTTCTGGCTCCTCTGCAGGCCTTTTTGTGTAGGCAGTACTGTGCCTGCTGTGCTGTACCAGGCAGGTTTGTCAAAAAATGAAACACTGTCCATTTGTGCTCTTTATCAGCAGCCACGCTGTAGGGAAATGCCACTTGTGTTCCCTTTCTTACTCCCCTTCAAATCTTTCCCCAATACATTCCTTTTCTTTGAATAATTTTCTATCTCTGATCTAAACCCTGAAGTGTGTTTCTCAGGAGAATGTGAAGTAAATAGAAATCAGATGGTTTTAGTTTACACAAATGGAGTGGTTAGGTCTACCTCTGCCAAACACATGCCCTCATTGTCAGCATAACTTACAAAAGCAGCGAAAGCTAGGAAATCTGTATTTTGACTGTTTTACAGCCATCCTCATCTTCAGGTGCTTTTGGAATGTTTAATAATCGCAGACCAAGTTCTTGCTTGCTCATGAATGCTTTCATTTCCACTTGTTTTTATCAGTGCAAGTTTAAATTCTAGCTATTTCTCCCAGGCATACTTTCTGGAGAACAGACATTTGATTAAAAATGCACTTGAACAATCAGCATTGTGGAACAGCTCGTGTAGGACAAACATTACTTTGTGTTGCGTGGCAAGCCAAGGGATGGGGATCAGCTGCTCTGATAACCAAGCAGCCTGCGTGAAGAAAAGGAAAAAAGGAAAAGAGGCCCCAGCAGCATCTCCTAAAATGCACTTTCTACGGTAGAACAGAAACCAAGCCTGTCTCTAGCCCTCTTTTCCCTGGAAGGGCTTCTGTGAACAGATTAGGATAAAATAGTTTGCTATTTCTGGAAAACAGCTAGCTCCTGTTTCCCTTGCTCATTAGAAGGCATGTCTTTGTATGTGTTCCTTTTAGGTATTCCAGACCCCATATGCTTTTGGTCAACATTCGATCCCACAAAGTAGCATGAGCATGTCACTTAACAACTCAGTTTACAGTTGGCTTCTGTAGGTATGAAGGAGGTCAGGTACTTAAAGATAGTTTAAAAATCAGTTTTCTCACGTTAGCGATCTCTTTCTCCAGGTCCATGACTCTTCTCATTTCTTCTGCAATCTGGGTCTCATTGAAAGAAATGTTTCTTTCTTGTAGGATTAGTTTAGCTACAGAAATCATGAAATCAACGTAGGCAGAACATGCCTGCAGGAAAAACACAGATGTTTAAAGACAAAATTCTTCAAAGAATATCTTGATTATATTGAAGATTTCATCTCCATTTCATGAACAATGCACGGTTCTTCATCTCCTTCTTTGATAACTATGCAGTAATTTATTCTCGTACAGTTAGATCACAAATTGAAATTTGAAAATTCCCTCATGGAAAAGTACTGTACTGTTTGTAGCACTGTTCAAACCTAAGCACTGTCAACTGCTGCGCTGTGTTTTCATTATTTAAAATGAGACATCTCTGGGTCCATATTTAAACTACCTCCTCTGCTTTTTCTAGTTCACTTTAATTACGACTTCCAAAAATACTGTGTCCAAAGAGCAGAGTTCCCAGAAACATAAAAGCCAGGGAAATGATGATGGGCTGTGTGGGATGAGTGCTGTGGGCACATTGCTCCCAGAAGCAGCAGCTCTTGTACGGCTACCTGGAACATTCAGAAATCATTTTGCTGTGTCTAAGTTCAGCAGAGCTTCATTTACTACAGGTAGTATCGTATACACGAGATTTAATATGTCTGAATTTTCCAAGGACAGAAAAGGAAACATAGAAGTATATTCCTTAAACTTACACTGTCAAATATCTGAAGATCTTAATTTTATTCCACTTCCTCTTTGATAAACTACTCTCAATTTTCTTTCAGCCAAAGTGCTGTTTTCAGTATAGTTTTTAAAGGCAAGGTAAATACATATTAAATTAGCTATGATAATAAATCTATTTTATGCAAAGTATCTTAATCTACTGAAACGGTGAGAATGGTAGGATTAATAAGGTGTGCATGGTTAATAAAACGGTATGTCCAGTAACCTGAGGCAGTAAGATACAGCCCTTTGAATGAATGCTACATTTATTTGGCCATTCTGATGACTCCTTTCTTTGCCATCCATCTCCTGTCAGCCTCCCCTCCCTGCCAACAATGCCTGTTTGCTGGAAATCCGAGCAGCTCATAACAGTATTGACAGCAGACTTGAAAAGGAGAGGTGGCTCACAGCTGAACTCTGTGCTCTTTTTAATTAAGGCAGATTATTTTATCAAAGAGAAAAGCCCATTAAACCACTGACAGCTATGTTAACTCACAAAAGAGAATGCATAGCAAGCCTGCAAATACCATTCTAAAATATCCAAATCTATGTATAATTAAATACACATATATATACTAATACAAACATTACTCCAAACCAGCAAGTCAACAGAAATCTTCAGTTGCAATCAGTGCACTTTATTTTTGGCTTAAAGGCGATGCAGCACTGCATGTCACAGAGCAGGCAGTTACGTTAGCTAACTTCAGATGCACCGTAGAAATACTCTCAGATATTTTAGAGGGAACTTAGATGTTGGAATAACTCCTGTAAGAGTATTTCCGTAAAACAGAAAAAAAAAATTAAAAATGATAGAAGTTCCACTTGTAGCTCAGAGGTTGGAATTACTGACAAAGCCAGAGGTTGAAGGGCAGGAGGCAGTACCTGGTTTGCTGCGTACGGCTCAAAGAATAGGATGAGACAGCAGGAAACAGAGCCAAGCAGAGCTATCAGAGGGCAAGGACTGAAAGAAGGAACATCTCTCAAATGGAGCGCTCAAGCTTGTAAAACATGCAGTTACAGAATCACAGAATGCCCAGAAGATCAGTGGGGCCAACCTTCATGGGAACAGGGAGCCTAGATGAGAGCATCTGTCCCTGTCCTATTGCATATTAAACCCCCGGTGGAGGTTGTTCCAGTCTCTGGCTGTTCTTACTCTATCTGCCTTTTAGTGACTAATCTGTTTCTTTTTTTAAAATGCTTTCCCCCTGCACTCCTGAAGTGGAAAGTAGTATGATACCTTCTGGTAGGTCAGAGTTCAGAATAGAAATTGAGGTTTCTTGTGCTGCAGTGGGTGCAATGCAGGAAAGGGAGCAAGCTGGGATACGTGACCTCCTACAGGCCATGGTAATGGGGTGATAATAGAGCTGAACACTTAACGTGATACATAATTTAATATAATCTCAATTATAGTATAAACTATTAGCATGTCAGCAAAACACCTATATAACAACATGCTTAATATGCTTTCTCATAATTTCTGCATTTAGTTACCCAGAAGAAAACTGGCTAATTAAAGGTTACTGTGTTAGCGCTTCCAGCTTCTCCAGCCCTCACGTACACCTCAGCCCTCCAAGACTTGGAGCACAACCATGGCTGGCAGTGAGGGATACACAGGGTCGGAGCTAACAGGTTAATGAAGTCATGTGCAAACCATAACACAAATTAAAGTCTATGGGAGATTTTAAGTATTTAAAGCAGTTTATATGATATCATAGTTTAGCTGATGCACTTTCATTAGGCAATTAACTGAGGGGACTGTGGTCTTTTCAAATCTTTTATGCAGTAAAGTGTGATCTTTGGTTCCAAATGGTTGTGTTTTTTAGTTCCTAAGCCTATTAGTGATAAGAAAAGTCATTTCCAAGGGTGATTAGATTAGTCTTCTGACTTATGTTAACTCCAGCCAGTGGCTCCTTTCACTCTATGCCCATTATGGGCATGAGAGCAGCAGTAAATGTGTGCTATCTGGACTAACCTAGTCCTAACCCTATCCCTGGACTCCACTGTCACTCTCAGCACTTGCTGATTGATGCCAGTCAATCATAGTTCAGCAGGCATCATTTTGTGATCACTGAACAGAGGTGATCCATTAGCACTTAACTTCTAGTTATTGTAACATGGGCTATGTCTTGATTCAGCTGTAAAGACTAGCAGAAAATGTGTAAACTGTTTCGGGTTTATTTCCTTTCAAGAGATCCTAAAAACTTCAAGTAGATGTTCGTACAGGAATTATTTGGAAAACTACTGTTTCTTCCACATGTATGTTAATTAAAAGAGGAAAGAAAGAGAATGGATGATGAAGGAAGCGAGGCAGGTTGGGATTTCTGAGGCATAGTGATACTAGAGGAATATGCAGCCTCCTCATCCAGTGCAGAGACAAGTGGTTAATACTGGCAGCTGGAGCCTAGATGGAAAACACTTGGCTCCTAGTGCAGCCAGGAGGGTCAAACAAGGACGCTAACATTAATGGCATAATAATATAATACCTCCTCTTCAGAACACTTGTACTGCCTCCTGTTCTTAGCTCATTTATTTCTGTTTCCCCCTAGTCTCCTAGAATCTGTATCTTCTGCAGTTGCTTTTCCTTTTCTCCTAGCTCCTGATTTCTTGCCTACTTGCACACTTATCCCAGTTTCTTCCTCCAGTCTGTCACACATTGTTCTCACCTGTATATCAGCCTTGTTTAAATACTCATAATGATTACCTTCCTATTTCAGTTTACTCAATTCTGCCAGTAATGGTTCCCAGTGTAGTATTAGAATCTATGTGGGGAGAGACTATTCCAGTTCTTTGCCAACCTCACTCTTGGCAGCTACACCTGCCTTGAAAATATAGGCTAAAAGAGCTGGAATTAGTCAGTGGTCTATCAGCTCCATCTTACCTCTTGGTATGCTCCTGTGCATTCATAGTAGTCACGAGAAGGCAGGCCAAGCCCAGGTTGGTCAATCTGTAAATTGAAGTAAAAGTTAAAAAACATGTAGGGGCAAAATGGCATCGTGTTATGCCGTTCTTTGGTCAGTTACAGGTGCTGATGCTTCATTCTGGAAACATTATCCTCTGCCCTATGGGAAGTGTCTTTCCTATCCCCTTGCGTCCCTTTAATTCTTTCCACTCTCCTTATTCTTCTTGTCTTTCTCTCCAGACTTCCTTCTGTTGCTGAACAATGCATGCTGTGTGTAATCCATGCCAAAGCAGTGGATGTACAGAAAACAGTCCACAGACAGGCAGGGCAGCTCCTGTGTCTTTGAGATTCATACATGCAAAGTAGCCAAGATCTCTGCACCCAGGTGCTGAGATGACTGTACCCCACTGCCCTTATAACTGCTGTGTCTTGGGAACAGCAAGTGCAGATTCACCATTTGCAATCCTGTCTTGCTCTGGATTTTCCATTGTCAGAGATATCTTACATCTTACAGCAGGGTGCTCTGGACATACTGCTTGTGCAGACATCCTCAGCTGCTTTCATGTTTGGGCAGGGAACGGCAGGTCCTGTGGGTACTCTGACGTAAGAGCACATTATGAAAACAGCCCCCTGTGGCCATCGGGACCACAGCCCAGCTTTTGGTGAGACAGATTTCTGCCTGAAGGGCAAGGAAGGGAAGCCATGCTTATTTTTTTGCTTGCATGCATATCTAAGTAGATCATGTCTGACTTCTGGACAGCCTGTAAATTGTGTATATGTATCTATGCATGTCTCAGTTACACTCACCTCCCTGATAATAACAGTGTACCAGTACAGTGAATAAAGATTATTAACCCTGAAAATGGACAGTGCACTGCCAAACCTATAAGGGAAGTTGAACAACTACAGAGATACACAGACTCATCTCCAGCTGGTAACATTCAAACCAGTAACATTTCTCTTGGCTAATACGTATGTCTGTGCCTTCTGGTTCTCTTGCTACACTTACATGATGAGCACCAGCAGACTTACATGAATGATGTGTGCTGAGGAATTTTTATCGTCTGTGCCAACGAAAAAATTAATCAGGACCTTTTTCCCATATCTGGAGTTGAGTTGTGCAATAGCTGTCTCAGCTGTCCAAGCAGCACCTGGGCAGATGAAAGGTGCACTCAGTCTTCTTTTTGGTAAACAATGACAAAGAAGTGATTTAGAATTTTATCAGAGAAGATTATCTCACCATAGGAAGACTCCCAGTTGTTTGTTGCTACAGGCCAGTCAGATAAATTTGCCAGGAGACTGATTAAAGGCATTCCACCTCTGCTATCAATGGTTGCTTTTGGAAAAAGCAAGATGAATTAACATGGCATTTTAGAACATACAAGTAGTATACTCTTGTAATGTGCTCAGAATTCTGAACCTGAGAACTCTTTTCACCATCAGTACAACAGAATTTTGTTCTGATCTATGCCTCTTCTTGAAGATTTGATATTTAAAATACATTTCAGTCATGACTGCAAACAACTTATGCAAATCCCTAGGACTATGACATTGAAGAACTACTGTATTTCAACTATAAATAGAATCTAAAGTAATAGCTTTGAGAAATATTCATAATTCAATGGAAAATATAAAAAATTATTTAAGTAGCACTGCTGCTTCATTGCACCTCATAGTGACAGCACCAGCTCAAATTCTTGAAGTAAACGACCCCTGTGTCTTTATATAAGCTTGATATGCCAGAGATTTTCTACCCGATCTCTTCTAAGAAAGAATTAATTCAGATTTAACCACAAGGATTTGAGTTTAAATATTTGCATCAAACTGGAAACTCGAGTAATGCAGATGCACTTAAAATATCAAAGCAAGTAGATCAGCATATTCAGTACTCATTGTACTACTGATGTTCTTATGTAACTCTAAAACTCAAGAAGAATTTCTGAAAAATTCTGTGCTGAAACCGCAAGTATAGAGATGCAGCTCACTTTGGAAGTTGAGTTTCTTAGACTTCATTCTTATGTATCCTATAGGCAATAAATACAGGAAGAACTTACTTTCATTTATGCATGATCTATACAGAGTTTTTGCCTTCTGCACTGCTGTTATATCACTGCTGCTTGGTGTGTCGAGGACATCTGGAACACACAGCAAATACACCTTACTATCTGATCTGTATTGGAGAGGCTGTGAGGCCCTGTCCGTGCTGCTCTGCTGTCACACTGGGCTGCTGGCTCTCCTTCCCCCGGGGACAGCCCACACTTGGCACTCCTTTACAAACACTGCTCCACAGAAACAGAAGCCTCAGGAAGACGTGACATCTGCGAACCACAAACTTGGTAAAACTAGAAGCTAAGCAAGCAAGGAAAGGATGTTCAGTCTCCAGAGCAGTTCTGAGAATCTTTCGTGAGTATAAACTCAGTGATTTCTTTGACTTTGTTACTTTTGTCTGGAAAAAGTAAGTATGGATAATTTGACAGCATCACTTTTTGTGGGAAAAGAAATGCTGATAAGCCTATGATGTGACTGCTTAGAGAAGTGCTTCCTGCTATTTGAGGTGTAGTGGATGGAATACAGATCTGCAGGACAGGGCTGCCAGCGAGCAGCTTCCAGCATTACAGCTGACAGTCTTTGTCACCTAGCTTCCCTGCTACTGTTAGTTCATGAGAGTAATTGGACAAATTAGAATACGCAGATGAGCACACAGAGTTCAGATATCAGAAAGGTGAGCTGAAGTCAGCTCTGCTCCAGTGTCAGACACAACAGTGTAACTTCCAAGGTATTCTCCAAGCAAACGGTTTGTGGTGGATTATCCTGATCTGAACATGAAGAAAATGAAATATTTTGTAGTATTTTAAGCTTTGCTGGATAACCACACCTTGTTAGAATTACATGTAGGCCAAAGAAGAAACTTTATCTAGTCCACAGACATAAACCCTACTGACCTTTTAAAACAACTTCTAGTTCATCTCTTAAAATGTCAAAGTTACTATAACGGGAGCTGGTTTCTGGAATGACGTTCCTCTTCAGCCATCCTCCACAGGCATATTGGTAAAAATCACTGCAAGGCTCTGCGGTGGTGTCCATGTTCTCAATGATTCGGGCTGCTGTAATATAAGACAAATCAAGGTGAAAAGGCTTTTTGGGGAGCAGCAACGAATACATTAGTTTGCTACTTTCCCTTTCGTTTAGAATAGGCTCCAGCCTACTTTAATGTCCTAGGCCAAGCCAAGTCAATAAAAATCACTGTTCTTTTATAGCCTGCAGCTCATATGCTTTTCTGTTGCCTGTGTTTATGGATGACTAAGCTTCCTCTATCTAACCTTGCTATTCATTGCAAGTGGTTACTTGGTTATAAAACGTTTCATTTACTGACTTCTTTGTTTTGAAAGGGGATGAAAAGAGAAATTAAAAGCTGATTTCCAGAATCTACATTTGATATTCTAGCTCTATTCCACATTTTTATAGAACTTATACTGCTTCTTGTGTTCTTTGCTGGTCCTATCAAAGTTGGCTGATCAAAGACTAACTGGTCACTGATCATAACATGGGTTTCCCTTTTGAAATCTGCTTTCTTGGTGAGTGTTTCCCAGCTGCTGTTCATAAAATTCCAGTGCTTTATCTTTTTCTTTGTATAGTTATTCCTCCTAGCTTGTTTTCACCACTAATACTGTAGCAGAAAGGCTGCAAAGGAAGGGAAAGATGCTCAGAGTCAGGCATCAGCTACTGATACCTCTGATTTGCCAGAATACTGAATACCCTCCCCATATTCAGACATTAATTTTAGTGAATGGTGAGGCTTGTGATTACAAGCATTTGTTCCTCCCACATGCGTGAGTCAAATGTGCTTTCTCTGTGTTTTCAGTATTTTTCATGTCTGTTATGGTGGTGGAGATGAGAGGTGTAGGCAGGCTGTAGTATTTCTGTTGACTGGCTTCCCCCCTTAGTTCTCTTGGGATGTTCAGTTAAAGTTACGTTTGAAGCCAACATTAGATGGTTTTATGATGTTGAAAGCTGGAAGAAGCCAAGAACACATGCATTTTCAATTTTGGAACAATAAGTAGCATAAAAAACATTGTGGAAATAGGTACAGTGCCTAGCATGCCGTTTTTCCCTCGTGAAGTTAATGGCAGGATGACTTCAGTTTGAAAGAATATAGGATCATGCCAGCAATGAGAGATGATGATATCCAGTCCTGTTTTCACTGTTTGACAATTGCTTTTGATCCATTCTTGAGAGAGCCAAACATCCATCCTACTGTGCAGTCCCTATGAGTGCTCAGGCACTGATATGTGCTGCCCAGTAAGCTTAGGAAGTGTCTGACTGGGAAATAATCAAAACTTGTCTGGACAGATCCCGAACAACTCTCTAGTTGGCACTGCTCTAAGCAGGGCAATTGGGCTGGATGATCTCTAGAGCTCACTCCCAATTCCAGCTCTCCTGTGACTGTGTAAACTCTGGTATCCTATTTTCTTTCTAGTTTGTTGTGCTCTATTTAAGGGAAAGGGATGTTTTGAATGGCGTGCTTTATTCCTGTCCTAGGTCTGTCTCCTTGCTGTAACAGAGGAAGGCTGACAGTTACTACCAAGCTCTTTCGTTTTAAGGGTATCCGTAGGAATCCCTCTGTTAGACTGGAGCACCTAGAGGGCAGCACTGTCCTTTGGGTTATCCTGACATGTTAGTCCAGCAACAAAGACCTTAATAGCCGGGACTTGACATCACAGTGGGCTTTCAGTGCAGTGTGTCAACCTTGCCACAAAGTAGTGATGAGTTTGGAAAAATCTTCTGACACAAAGAAAATGTAATTCAACCACTGTGTTGCCACTTTTGGAGAAAAGAAACAATAAGAACAACAAAAACAAACCAAGAACTAGAAGAAGTTTACATCTTGTGTACATCTGGCAACTTAATAACTGTCTGTGTAAATCAGCCTTGCTTGAACCACGGAATCAGGTTGCTCTCTTGGCAGTCAGTATCTGTGCAGTCTTTCTTTTCTACTGCTGTGATAAAAAATTACCTATTATAACATTTCTGCTGTAGAGCCCAAACCAACCATGTCAGCACATCCAATTTTATGAAAACATTGAAGGTTAAATGCTGTGAAAAGACTGAGCTGAGTCATGGGAACAGCAGTCTTTCACTCTTCATTCAAGTTTTCCTTCAGAATATACACTTCAATTACTGCCCCAAAAACACTCACTTCAAGAGTGTAATTTGCACATCTGAATCCCCAAATAGAAGTGATTATTTGCCTGATACCACGAATAAACTAAAATGAATGGAATGTGGTTTTGTCATCAATGAAGCCCTGGAGCACATGCTTGATGCCAACATGGGAAGTTATTTACGAGTTCATACTTGGGCCCAGTGGAGCATTCAAGCCCGAACAATGAGATGTTTTTGCTCTGGAAATTGCAAGTGTGAGACTGATGAGTATTTTGTTATTTAATTCTAATACAGAGTCACTCATACCTTTACAGGTAAATAAAATACGATGTTACACTTTTCATTAGTCCTTTGTATTGCTTTGATAATCCAAATATTGCTTCTGTTCCTGTGCTTGACACGTTTATTCAGTGTCCTAGCTTGCGCTGAAGAATGTAGAGACCTGTTTGAACTACTTTTAATGATTAATTTTATTCTAATTCTCATCATTGCCAGTTGTTGCGTTAATAGCTTACAAATAAAGTAATAAAAGTTGGCATAACAACTAGTGACCTGAGAAGGATGTGGGAGAAACACTATGTGCCTAGTGTCATTAACAACAGAGATATGAGCAGATCCTGTTCTCATCAGTATGTGCTGTTTGAGCTCAGGCAGTGTGCATCAGGCCTGTGTGTCAGCATATAAACACATGCATATATACTCAAATGCAAATCACACGTCGTGATGGCAGAAAAGTCCTTCGGAAGTATAACTAGAATACAGTGATGGCTGCCTGAAATAAATCATAGGAGATAGCTAGCCTGTGGCAATGGCAATATCCATCATTGAGACAACAGGCTGGGCCAAGGCTTCACCAGGGGATGATTCCACAGGACTCAGGTGTGGTGGAGATACTCCCACTGTGTGAAGTGAGACCTGAAAGGAGCAGCCCCAGACAAGAAAGAAAACGAATGATGCTTCTGGATTGTTTCTGGTATGTCTGAAAGTCTAAATGGGGCCTATGAATCCAAGTGTTCTGGAAGCCTCTGGTGGGGTGCTGTGCACTTCAGATTCCTTATCATTTGTGCTTAGCTTGCGTTACATAAACCCTGGCATGAAAACACATTTTTCTGGGATGCTGACTGTCAAAACCTGTATGACTCCTCAGAACTTTTCCCATGTCTCTTATTGACACAGTGGGTCTATGCCTTTTCCTGGGGCTGTCTTTTCCCAGAGGGGCCAGTCATGATGTACAGAATTCACACAGAATTTATCAGTTCCACTTGACACGAAGATAACACATAGATATCACTGTATTTCTGATGCTTTCCTGTTAATACTATTGATGCAACAAATCTCAAAATACAGCAGACAGAGCAGAATATTTCACTCCAAGGGCTTTGACTTGACTAACAGTTGGCATGTAAATACAGCTGAAAAAGTCATTGATTTTTTTACCATTCAAAAAGAGGGGAAAGGGAAAACACGGCTGATTTCGCCTTGAGGCTTTTTGGTGGACTTCAGCCCAGTGTGTAAACTAAGAATTGTTTCTGCAGTTCAGTCTTTACTGAAGAATGACGTTAGCTAGGCAGCCTATAGAATGCACAGCTTTTCCTGGACATGAAGACTAATTCTGCTTCTCCTCAAACAGCAACATGGCATCTTTAAGAGCTGTTAGCAATCAAGACTCTCCTTATATGCATCTTCAGAGACACAACCTTTCAGCACGTGCTGCAGCACCACCTGAATGCTGACTTGGTGAGGAAGAGCCGTTTCTGTTTCACTTAAATCATTTTCTGCATCTGGAGGTATTTTTTGGAGTCTGCTTCTGAGTCTTGAACCAGCCTGACCCTGGTGACTTTATAAGATTTGACAATACCACATCATGAGATTTTACATTTGCAGAAAAAATACAGAAAGGAAATGATTTGGGTTAGCAGATGGTATGCCTCAATGTGCTGTGTTTGTGTACAGTGAATTGGCAACATTATGTGGTTTCGTTTTGCTTAGAAGTACATACGTGTATTTAAAACATTTGTATGTTCATTCTTACCTGACTTTATGCAGTCTGATGTCTTGCAAACCCCATCTAGAAAACAAAGCAGTCATACTTTTAACTTCTACTCAGTGTCAATACAATAAAAGCTACTGTAAATTTTACTCTCAATGACTTTAGTCACTTTAGAAATTGCATTAACTGCAGGGTACAGTGAGATAAAGATAAAAGAACAGCGTGCGTTCAGAACATGAGATTTATAGGATATGGCTTTAAAAATACTGTTATCCTCGTCCCTTTAGGGCTCTCAGTGCTGTACCCATCATGCAGAACTTCATGGTCATTTGAAGAAAAGGTTCTATCAATCAATTACAAGTGGTAAAAATGTTATTTTTATTTAAGAGAAGAAGAAATTCAGAGAAAAATAGAAAATGGACTGAAAACAGTTACAAAGTCAGTCTGAATGCAGCAGTTCTTTGCAGTGACAAAAAGGTGGAAGAGGATTTGTGTGAACACTTTGCCACATTCACTGTGCAGCACTGTGAGCAAAATCCAGGGCTCCAGAGCACAGATATTTCCTTCTGAGACTCAGAAATATGGCACTTTTTGGTTTTCATTTCAGAATGGCATTTTTTCCATTCCATAAATGGGCAATACGATAATAAAAAGTGTAAGTAAAATTATTAAGTACTTTAAAATGAAAAAGCTCATTTCTAGTGTAATTAAACATTCATTAAGCATTCACAAAATGGAATTTTGAGCTTTCTTGTATTTTCCACTAAAAAAAAAATATCAGTATTTCTGCCTAAACCGAATTATTGTCAAATGCTTTGGTGTGGCTGCTGAATTACCAAACGCTTTGTGTGACTGCACTCACAGAGTGTTTGTCACAATCCGTTGTGAATGGAAAAAATGGGATCTTCACTTCCACAGCAGTGTGGAGGAAACACTGCAGTTTGGGGCTCTTTGGAAGGATTCTCTTTTGTAGTTTCTGCTTCCTGAAGCATTAATTACAAACAGAAGTATTGCTAAGTCCAAACAAGCAGATGGTTTGTGTTTCCCACCACTTTGCATAGTTGATCTATGGAGTCCCAGTAGGAAGCCTGGCAGTTGTGTGTCAGTGTGCAGCAGTATGGAGCGTGGCTGCAGCGTTACATTTCCTGCCGTTGTGCCATGCTAACAACATACTATAAAACACAACAGTGATGGAGCTGCTGCATCTCGTTTTGCATTGTGGGCACAGACATAGGGTATCAGGCAAATATTCTGAGCTGACCTTTTAAAAATTTCTCTTAATGCCTTCTGCAGTGCAGCTATATACGTATGCAACATAGACTTTTCTAATACAGTGTTTTAATATGCTGAATCTTCAGGTTTGGTTTTTTTTTTTTTTCCAATATGAACAGCTGGATTCTATTTGATAAAGCCTTTTTGCATAATTTCTTTAAATGCTTTTATATTAAGGTGGATTTGTACATTCCAAGACATTTACGTGTACTCACCATCGTATGTAGCATACAGGACTATCATTGTGATTGCCACAATGGCCAGCAGAATCACTACAACAGTCAGCCCTATTTCCAGGCCACTCCATCGCAGTTTCTTCTTTGATTTTGGAGCATTCATTTCAGTGATATCCATCTGACTTTCTGACTTGCCCATAACCCAGTGTCTGAAAAGGAAAAGGGAAAAGTCACTGGAAGACACCAAATCACGGGTCCTGAAATTAGCTCCTCAGCTGCACAGTAACCAAGATGTTTCCTGGGTGAATTTCCACACTGGCACAAAGTTGATCTGTAACACTGCTAGGAAGTCGTGGCACTCAGCTGTGTGCCCACACACAGTACGTACCATGTGCCTGGGGACACAGCAGTGCTCTGCCTTGTGCAAAGAGGCCACTGAGCAGAAAAGGAGGGCCAACAAACCAAACGCTGTTTTTAAAACTCGCCGTGTAATTTAATCCTGTGTGATGGTAGAGGAATCCACAAGGAAGCAAAAGCAAGTCTCCTGGCCTGAATAAAAATTAACTTAATCTGCCAATTACTTATCTCATGCCAAAGGTCAAAATATACCATTGTGCTTTGCTGTCATCTTTTAAAGTATCGTGTAAGCAGTTCTTGACTACAGCTTTACAGCTGTCACTAAAAATAGAAAAAAACAATAAATAAGTCGGCCTCTGCTGGGAGCATGCCATACTGACAGTGCAGAGATTGGGGCTTTGCAGTGATAACCATAACACTGCAGTTTGACCAAGCTTTGCTCCTGTTTACTTAGGGCCTGGTCACTTTCTTTGCTGATATTCACATTCCTGTACACCTGCCGATGTATTTCGCAGGTTTTGCAATGGGAACTTGGCAATGTCTGTTCATAGCATTCCTCTGGTGCCCATCACACCACTTTCCCGCAGGCAGCAGTACAATGGGAAAGGGTGCCTTTCTCAGCTTCTGCTTCCACTCGAGTCCTACATTTGTACTTCAGGTATGTTAAACTGGATTAAGTTGTTGCCTTGTATTCATCGTTTTCTCCTCAAACTGCTACAACCTTTCAGATAAGCGGTCTTCAGTTGTACTGAGCACGTTCTGTTTCTGCCTGATTGCTGTTCTGTAGTCCAGAGAGCCACAGAATCGTAGGGGTTGGACGGGACCCAGAGACCACCTGGTCCAACCCCCAGTTCCAGCAATCCCTGCCTCTCTTTTCATGGCCACCTCAAAGAGCCAGCTCCCTCTCCACAAAAACATGACCCCGCAGTGTGTGCTTAGCAATGAAGATGATACAAAGTAATTCACCATCCTGGATCTAAGGAAAACCCATTTTGTGTTTATGCAATACTGAAGCGTTCCCCTGAATGTTATCACACCAACACTGCTTACCCAAATGAAAGAGGGAACGTTTCAGATCAGAGCATCCCCCCTCCCCTCCGTCGCTCTCTCCGCACAGTGGGCTGCACACAGTGCCAGCAGTGCCAGGGATTCTGCAGCTCCCAGCCCGGCACCCTGCACGCTCTGCCCAGCTCTGCCCTTCACATCTGCACCACTGCCGCCCCTTCCACTTCCTTCTTTTTTCTCTCTGAATAGTGGGTCAGAGCACCCAGTGCTGAGACACAGCTCTGAAATCCCACACAACCACGTAAAAGTGAGAGCTGTGCCGAGAAGCTTGTCCTGCATTAGCAGTGAACTAGAAATTCATAGATAATGTAAAAGGAAACAATTAACCATGTATTAACCATTGTACCGTTCTCACTTCCAGTCATACTAAGCATCAGAAAATGTAATTTATATTGACTTAATGCTGACCAGTGAATACCTGGGGCCTAATTTAAGAAGTGATGTTTGTCTTCTGGCTCTGAGAGTGTCTTTAAAGCAGTGAAAACGTGGTTTATTGGAGCAGGCAGAAACACTGCACCTTTGCATGCCAATACGTTCCTTGCAGCTAAGTTTTTCCATGTGAGCTGATCTTGCTGCTCCTGTAGTGCTCCTCGTGTTTAAAGGCATCCCACTAATTTTTACCTTTGGTTATTTAGAGAACGTATCCCATCTGCATTAACAAACTCCAGGTAAGAGCCTCTGTGTGTGCTAACTGCCAGCACACCAAAAGCAGAAGAGTAATGTAAGCAGATAAAAGCATAGGTAATGTGGTTTTCTTACATCTCTTCAATGCTCCGTGATCCCAGCTGCCTACTAAAGCAAAGATGCAACAGACAGCCGAAATTAATTTCTTGGCCCCCGGTGTGGTTGTACAGAGAGCTGATACAGTAGCTTTTCTCCTTGGGATGCATACGTTTAAAGATGACTCGAGGCATACCTGCTTCTCGGTGCGGTCTCTACAGGGAACGCAGCCCGGCACGAAGTACCCTACCTTTTTTGTCATTGTGTGGCACGCGGCGTGCAGACGAGCTACTCGGCGCGGCAGAAGCGCGGCGCGGCAGCTCGGGCTGCCTGGTGCCACCGGGGCTCCCCGCTACGGCCAGGCGTTCGGGCTGCCGGCTCGGCCCCCGCCCCGCACCGCGCGGTCGGGATGCCGGCAGCCCGGCGAAGCCTTCGGGGCGGGCGGTTCCGTGCCGCTGCCGCTCGGCTCCGCTCCGCCCGGCCGGGGGCAGCTGGCGGCGGGAGGCGCGCCGTGGGCGGGGAGGTGCCGGCGGGCTGCGGCCGGGCCGCACCGCGCGGTGAGGACGCTCGCACATCCGCCGCGGCGGGGAGCACCGTGCGGTCCGGCCCCGCCGCGCCGGCGCGGGTGTCCAGGTGCCCGCGGGCTCCGCGCCCCGCACGTCCCGTCCCGTCACCCGTCCCGTCCCGCCGCCCGCCCGACGGCACGCCGCCCCGAGGCCGGTCCCGCGGCACGCACGCCGGCGGCCGAAGCCCCGCAGGACGGCCGAGGCGGAGGAGCCGCGCGGCGCACTCACCGGCTGCCGCTCGAAGGGGTCCGGCCGCGGGGCCGCCACGCGCATCCCCGGGCAGCGGCGGGCCGGCGGGGCGGCGGCGCGGGGCGGGCGGGAGGCTAGGCTGGAGGGAACGCTAGGCTGGAGAGAAGGCTAGGCTGGAAGGAACGCTAGGCTGGAGGGGCGGCAGGTGGCCGGCGGCGGGGCTCAGAGCCCGTCCCGCTCGCGGGGTGCCGGCATCGGCGGGACATCAAAGCTCGGGGCGCTCCCCCGCCGCCGCCGGAGCCGAACCGCTGGCGGTCAGAGCGCTCCCCGCGCGTCCGCCGCCGTCCGAGCGGCTCTCCGGGTGACCCGAAGGCTCCTTCCTCTTTGAGATCGTAAAAATGCGACGGGGCGGGAAACAAACAAACAAACGAACCCCCCACCCCGACGGCGGCGAACCGCGCTCTTCACCTCGCGGAGCTTCACCCGGCGCTTAGCTGGAGGGAAGGGAAGGCGCCGTGCCCCGGGGCGGGCGGTGCGAGGGGAGCCGCGGCCGGCAGTGCTGCCCCATGGCCGGCCGTACCGCGGGGTGGGCAGCCGGGAGGGACGGCGGCGCGGGCCGAGGGAGCGGCGACCTGCTGGGGCTGCGCCTTTCTTCCCGGTCGGCTCCGGAGAGATGGAGATGATGCACAGAGAAGGGCAGCGGCTGCATGTCTGCAGCGCCTCTTTCCATGCAGCCTCATTGCCTTTGCCAAATTGATGCTGTCACGTACCCTCTGTGAGATCTTATATCCTCATTCACTTTCCTCTCACAAGAAAGGCAGCTGCAACTCCTCGCAGGAAGAGACAGCCCTGAGCTATCACCAGATTTACCATACCAGCCAAGCGATACAAAAAGATACTTCTTTCATTCTCACTGAGTTTTATGTTTATTAAGTTTCATTTTTACTAATATAGTGGCAGAGGAAGCAAGATGAGTTTCTCACATCTTCTCTCTCAAACACTCACTTTTGCTGCCTTCCTAAAGGCACGTATGTCGCCTCTGAGGCAGAAATGGCAACTGAAAGTTTTGAAATCTTTCATTATCAGCGGCGTACATTGAAACATCTGCAGCTTGAGAGGCACACTACGAAAAGTGGAAACCAAGAGCTGACCTCTCTGCAACTGCATGGCAGCCAATCTGCAAAGCACACGCGATGAAGGTGGGAGAGCAGCAAACAATCAGCTGAACAGAATGTGAAAATGAAGCACTTTTGCCCTACAGTCTCCCTGCGACAAACCTCTCACCGTCCTGCATGTGGATGCCTACAGGAAAACCGGAAAAGCAGAAGGCAGTGTGTGTGGGCTGAGCTGAAATGGCAAGAGGAAGACTTGTTTCAGGTAAATCCAAAAAGCATAATTGCCTGATTCACCTTCAGAGAGCCCAGAGAGAACTGACAGGCCTGACAAACAGTGTGAGTTTCCACTCCTGTAGAACCTTGTGCCTGGAAAAGCAGAGTATGCATGTATATATTTCTGTATATGCAGTGTAAGGGAGATATGACTTGTGAGTCGGGCATTCTCCAGGGAAAACTCCCATCACATAACTAATGTAACAGCCTAAAACCCGATAGCTATTCTCCTGCAGACAATCAGAGAAGCAGAGCTTGTGCTGGCTGACAGGCCTTCAACAGGCCTTTGACACAGCTGGAAAACTCTTTGGCCAGCACAGCCGCCTAGAAGCACTGCAGGCCAGCTCTGCAGCTGCCCACTGCTGACAGCACTGCACACATGTGCTGTGCACACAGTGCTGCCCTGCTGCCACCCAGTGCTGTGCGCCAGCTGGCCGGGGCATTTGCAGTAGGTGGTGCACACAGTTCCTCCTGTCAGTCAACTTCAAGCTCTGCTTATGAACAACTGCAACAAATTCTTCACTGAGATCAAGAGTGTGTTTAGTTATTTTTAATGCCCTGTGATTTTAGAGAGCTCTGTGGTCTGATATTAGTGGAAATACTCTATATGTTGATGAGGTGTACACCCAGTGCCAAGAGGAACCAATGGCTTGCATTATTTCTTTCTGCTTACTCAACTTCACTATTTTTCATCGTTGTTCTATTATCATCATTTCATAAAGCTGAGAGAAAAATAAAACCAAACTATCCCAAAAACTACAACAGAAAAACGCACCTCAGAACTGAACACATAATTAAACCCTCACATTTAGAGAACAGAACAGTTTTCCTCATGACCCTCCCGAGTTGCCTTACTGCTTTCAGAGAGGACAGCAGTGCTGAGAGTGCAGGTTTGTCCTTCAGGGATCCCTCCTTGACTCTCCATCCTGACAGACAGCCACGTGCATGGAACCAAAACCCAGCGGGTGATTCAGGGTCATAACCAAAAAAAGGTGAAAAAACACAACATCATTAAATCAGTGCTCTTGAAAAATAAAGGTTCCTGTTCACTAGTGGTTTAAGAGGATGTAGCAGCACTGTTACCTGCTGTAAATCAGTGGCTGCAGAAGGATGCGTTTGTACAGCTCTGCTGGCAGGTAGATCACAGCGACGCACAGAATGGGTGCAGTGTGCAGCCTTCAGAAAAACAAAGTGCGTCACAATAACTGACAACAGCAAGAGCTTATTTGCAGTATGACCTCTGGATGACACTTAGGAAATTAGGATTCATTTACATTGCTATGAAACAGGGTTGATGATACTCCTTGTATTTCCTTTTGGGAAAGCTCACTTTCCCGAAGTAACAAAGACAACATTCAAGAAACAAACAGCATTAACGCAGCCTGTGTGGTTGCGATGACCCATCTCAATCCTGCTACATTCTCCTCCCCATTAAGTCCTGTGTCAGAGGCAGGAGAAGAAAATGGCAGCTCTCTTCATGCTTTGTGCCCTCCACCTGCAGTGTGTGCAGTGCTGGGGACATTGCCGTGCTGGAGCCTGACACACTCAGGGCTCTGGGGTAGATTTGCAGCAAATCCGCGTCTGGGTGATTTCTCATTTAGGAAAGCAAACAGCCCAGGCCTCAAATATTTGCTTCAGTGCCTAAATTATTCAGGTCTAATTGTATTGTATTACTGAGCTCTGTCTTTGCAGCTGACAGCTTTGTACCATGGCTGACTTGCAGGTCTTTGCAAGGCTGAAAAAAACAGTTGTCTAAAAAGCAGTGTGCTTTTGCTCTTTTGAGCTTGCCTACAAACCACACACAATACTTCAATTAATGCAGCCTAATTAGCTTTTTGGGTTCTTAGGATCCCGCCATGCTGGCAGTCCCTGCTGTGAGCGGAGAGCAGGGAGCGGTTCTGCTGAACAAAGAGGTGAGAGATGCTCAGAGCCGGACAGGGCACACACGGAGCTGCCATGGCGTGGGATGGCAGCGGGACAGGGCTGTGGGCCTTCCTGCACAGCACAGCCATGCTGCGCACTGTGAGTCACAGACGCCTTTCCGTCTCTCTTGCAAACCACAGCTTTGCAAAGAGAGTGAGCGTGAGCACAGCAGGCCCTGCAGTCTGGTAACGACTGGAGCAGAACCTCCACTGATGCACCGGATGTACACCCTCAGTGGCACGCGGTGTTTGTCGTTGGGCTTCCAAGCACAGCAGACGCCGCTCCTGCTGCGGCTCCCCGGGCCGTGACGGCTCTGCTTGGCACTGCCCCGCACATCACCACCCTGCACATCACTGCACATCACTGCCTGCACATCACTGCCCTGCGCATCACCACTCTGCACATCACTGCCCCGCACATCACTACCCTGCACATCACCACTTTGCACATCACCGCCCTGCACATCACTGCACTGCACATCACTGCCTGCACATCACCACCCTGCACATCACTGCCCCACACATCACTGCCCTCCCCCGAGCGGCGGGAGGATCGGGCACCATTGGTGAACGTGCCTGGAAAGCAGCCCGGGTCACCTGAGAGTGCTGGGACCTCAGCATGGCTGTTGGTGGGGTTTGAAATTGCTCTGCAGCTCACTGGTGATGTGGGTGTTTGATCAGCCTGCCCTCCTCAGGCGTTGTGCTGGAGCACGGCTGAGCTCTTGGAAGGTCTGTGCTGTGGGGGACAGGGTGCTGTTGGTAAAACAAATGTGAGCAGTAGGGCTGGCTCGGGCTCCGCAGCTCTGCTTTGCCTTTCTGTTCTGACCTGTGTATTGTGGCTGTCAGTCAGCACCCAGCCATCGCAGGGCCCAGTGCTCTGCATCATTAAAGATGGTTGAAGAATTAAAGATGGTATTTTTGGAGGCCATGGTAACAACAGGCTTCAGCTACTGTAAGTGCACAGCACACAACCTCTTAGCTTTTTGCTTACAGTGAGATGATTATTATTTTTATTAGTGCATGACGTAGTTCATGCAACTGGTGTCTCTTAAGGTTGACAGTTGTGGGTCCGTATTGCAGGAGCAGTGTAAAAATGGTATCAGTGGAAACAAACATAGCCAAAATACAGAGTGGATTAGCAGGAAATTAACTGCCTGCCCCCGGTGCAGATGTTATGATTAAAACGTACTCTGAGGGTATCCGAGTAGCCCACAGTTTTGCAGCGAATATTGGTATTTTAGAGAAAGTTAAAAATATGACAGGATGTAGAAGCTGACAGCTCAGGGGGCTGATTGTAATCTGAAAACCTGGGTCATTACCGTGGAAAAAATAGGTTTTTGGAGGC